ATAGATAAATGTTGGCGGGTTGACCTGATAACATTTATAATATTAATTTTAATGCTAATTAGATTTTTTTTTCAATTACTTCTTTAAATTTTTTGTTTTTAACTAGTTCTTTTGTCAAAATTCTTCAAAAAAAATGCCTAGATAGCATACGGCTTAACAGTTTGCAAACAATCACCTCAATCGCAAACAATTATTTTTCTTGAAAAAATGGTAGAGTATGGCGGGATCGAACCGCCGACCTTCTGCTTGTAAGGCAGACGCTCTCCCAGCTGAGCTAATACTCTGTGGAGATATTATTATTTTTAACAAAATGGCGCCCATGGAGAGAATCGAACTCCCAACCTAATGCTTAGAAGGCATTTGCTCTATCCATTGAGCCACATGGGCTTCATAGTAAAATTTTAAGTAAATGCAAAGAAAAGCAGCAAGTAGCCAGTATAAATGAAATTTTACCCATCTTTTTCCTCATCAGCAAGCCTGGGAGGGACAATTAAACAACCTTAATCAAATCACCCAAAAACTAGTTAATCTCCAAGGAAAACTCAATAAATTAGCGAACTTTCGTCGCTATCTCCAATGAGAAAAAGAGTTGTCGCTTCAATTAGCCAAATTAGGTCAATATTTACATTACGCTGATTTAGATTTAGCCAATTTAGATTTTCAAAAATTAAATATTTTGTATGCTGATAAGTGTCAAGAAATTACTACTGCTTTGGCTTGGATTGAACCCGAACTAAAGAAAATTGGTTCAGAAACTATTACTAAATGAATAGAAAAAAATAAAGACTTACAACCTTATCAACATAAATTTGAATTATTCTTTCGCTTAGCCAAGTATGTTTTAGCCGAAGAGCAAGAAAAATTGCTCAGCCAAGTAAGTATTTCGCGGCATATTTCCACCGAACTTTACGATACTTTGGCCTATGCTGACCGCCAACCAATTTTCCTTGATTACGAAGGCCAAAAACAAGAATTAACTTTGACTTTGTATACTAAAATTATGGAAAAATCACGACCAAGAGAAGACCAAGATTTTCGCCACGAAGTTAGTCAAAAACGAACCGCTTACTTGCGAGAAAAAAAGCATTCTTTTGCCAAAATTTACGAGGGGATTTTGCGGACAGGTGTCGAGGAATTAGCCTTACGGGGTTATCAGTCCACTTTGGAAATGGGATTAATTGGAGACAATGTTCCCCGTGGAGTTTACGCAAATTTAATCCAGATTGGTCAAAAAAAGGCCCAACTATATCGGGAGTTTCTCCAAATCAAGAAAAAGCATTTTGGTTTAGCCAAGTTCTACGCCACGGACAACAGTTTAAAAATGACTCCCCAATACCGACACCAATTTACGGTTGACAAAGCTACCATTTTAAGCAAAAAAGTTCTCCAAATTCTCGGTCCGGAATACCAAGAAAAGTTAAATTTAGCCCTCCAACCCGGAAGAATTGATTATTACGAAGACACTAATAAGCGGGATGGTGCCTATTCTGCTGGCGGAAACGGCGTTGAACCGGTTATTTTGCTGAATTGAGACGACACCCTAAACTCGGTTAATACCCTGGTTCACGAATTAGGTCATTCTGTTCATACTTTCTTTGCCGAGGAAAATCAACCTTACCCTAACGCTCACTACCCCATTATTTTAGCCGAAGTGGCTTCTACACTTAATGAACATTTGCTCTTTGATTACCTTTACCAAAATAGCCAAACCAAAGCAGAAAAAATTTACCTGCTCCAAAGCCGGATTGAAGAAATTATGGGGACTTTCTTTCGGCAAGTCCAGTTCGCCAAATTTGAATGAGCAGCCCACCAAATGGTGGAAAAAGGAACACCGCTCAATGCTGACAATTTAGCAGATTTATTCCAAAAAATTAATGAAGAATTCGGTGCTGATTTTTTCGACAAAAAAGAACCAGACAAAAAATTTTCTGCTTGACCACGAATTTCCCATTTTTTCCATTCTCCTTATTACGTTTATAAATATGCCGTGGCAATTACAGTTTCTTTTCAATTATACCAAGAAGTCAAAAATAACTATATTGTTAATTTATTACAATTTTTAAAAGCCGGGGGGCACAAAGACCCCTTGGCTATTTTGCGGGATATTGGCATTGATTTAAATAAAACTGATGTTTACCAACCACTATTGGATAATTTGCAAGGAATGATTGAAGAATTAAAAAAATTGACGGGAAAATAAGTAAAAACAAACGGGCATTAATTTTAGACCCAGTATGACTAATTTCTTTTCGGGACAGTAAAAATTATTATATGAAAAAATTGCAAAGCGAAAGATGAAAGGAATTACTTTCTAAATAATATGGCAGAGAAACCGAAGTTTGAGTTAAATAAAGAACACATTAATATTACCACTATTGGTCACGTTGACCACGGCAAGACCACTTTAAGTGCGGCGATTACTAAATACGCTGCTAGCAAAGGTTGAGCGAAGTTCGTTGATTACAAAGAAATTGATAGAGCACCCGAAGAAAAAGCCCGAGGAATTACTATCAATGCTGCCCACTTGGAACTGGAAACCCAAACGAGACATTATTCTTTAACTGATTGTCCCGGACACGCCGATTACGTCAAAAATATGATTACCGGAGCTTCCCAAGCCGACGGAGGCATTTTGGTCGTAGCTGCCACGGACGGAGCAATGCCCCAAACCAAGGAGCATTTGCGTTTAGCTCGGCAAATTGGCATTAAACACTTGGTAGTTTTCATTAATAAGGTAGATGACGTTAGCGACCTTTCTTTTGTCGACTTAGTGGAAATGGAAATGCGTGATTTGCTCAATCAATATAAATTTGACGGACAAAAAACTCCTTTTGTTAAAGGTTCAGCTTTATCGGCTTTGGAAGGAAAAAATCCAGAAATTGGCGAACAAAGAATCGAAGAATTATTAAATACTATTGATCAATATATTCCTAATCCAGTACGCGATATTTCTAAGCCTTTCTTAATGCCAATTGGCAAAGCGGAAACAAAAACTGGTTTAGGAACCATCGCCACTGGTAATGTTCTCCGCGGAAAATTAAAGTTAGAACCCCGGGGAACAAACGTGGAAATTGTGGGACTTGGTCCAACTACTAGTGCCGTAGCTACCGGAATTGAAATGTTTCATAAATCATTAAGCGAAGCCTTACCAGGCTACGATATTGGGGTGCTTCTACGGGGTATCAAACGGGAGCAAATTCGTCGCGGGCAAGTTCTCGCCGCTCCCGGAACAATTAAAGCTCACGCTAAATTCGAAGCTACTGCTTATATCCTAACCAAAGAAGAAGGTGGACGACACACTCCCTTTGGTGGTAGCGACAAAGAAGGTAAAAAAGCCAAAAGCGGGAAAGAATACCGTCCGCAGTTTCATTTTCACACAGCGGATGTTACTGGTAGTATTTCCTCGCCAAAAAATCCCCAAACTGGCGAATTAGTGGAAATGGTAATGCCGGGAGATAACATTAACTTTACGGTGGAACTAGGTAGTCCGGTTGCCATTGAAAATAATACTCGCTTTTCCATTCGGGAAGGTGGAAAAACCGTGGGGGAAGGAACAATTACTAAAATTATTGAATAATATTGAATAATAAGAAAAAGGTTAAAAGCAAGAAAATATTTGCTTCAAATTGGTAATTACCATGAAAAAAAACTAAAACAAAAACAATCCGGATAACCTCAATGAAACAAAAAAACCATCCCCCACAAAAACAGCAAAAAAAAAAAAACGACACAATAAATCCTTTTTCCCTTTAAGGGAAATCAACAAATAATTAGAGAGAGAGTAGAAAGAAATAAAAATACATTAATAAAGAAAATTGAGTATGAATTACGCCATTGAAGTCAAAAATTTTACCAAAAGATTTGGGTATAAAACGGTTGTCAATAATGCTTCTTTCCGAGTAAAAAGAGGAAGCATTCACGGCTTTATTGGTCCTAATGGTGCCGGCAAAAGCACTACCCTTAATGCTCTTATGGGCTTAGTCATCAGCAGTGGCGGGGAACTATTGATTGAAGAAAAAAAAGTAATTACTGACCCGAATTTTAACGCCAATGTTGGTTATGTTCCGGCCGAACCCCTTTTTCCGCGGAACATGAAAGTAAAAAGTTTCATTGAATTTTGTGGTCTTTTGCGGGATATTCCTGCTTCCCAAGTGGGTCAAAAATTAAATTCTTCCTCTTTAAACAGGTTAAGCAACCAAAAATGCGTCAGCCTTTCCACCGGACAAAAAAAGTTGCTTCAATTATTCGCGATTAATTTATACCAACCAAAAATTTTAATTCTTGACGAGCCTTTTAATGGCCTTGACCCGACTAAAAGAACATGGCCTTGACCCGACTAAAAGAACTTTACTTGCCAATAAAATCAAAGAAGTAAGAAGTCAAGGAGGCACGATTTTAATGTCAACTCATATTTTATCCGATTTACAAGAATTAGCCGACGAAATTACCATGATTAAAAACGGAAAAATTGTCTATACCGGACTAAAAACGGACGACATTCAAAGAACTTATGAGCAATATTTCGTCCAGGGTAAGACCAGCGATGATTTATTTGCTTAAAATTATAAATTTATGGAAAAGAATATATTAAAATTGTATAAATATTACTTAAAAAAGTTATTGAAAAGTTGATATTTTTGGGTTTTTCTCATTTTAAGTTTAATTTGGATATTTGGCCTGCCTTTACTTATTATTTATAACTTTGTCGGTTATTACAATATAAACACTCATAAATTTACGACATGAAAAGAAGCGTTTCCTAATTACCGAGAATTCTTGCGCGAGATTTCATCAGGGGTGACTGGCGGGGGCAGAAACCACGCTTAATATTGATTTCCTAACCTCGTCAAAGACTTTTTTCTTCTTAATTCCGAAAGTGCTTGGAAGGATATTTTTAGTGTTCTTTGAAAATTCTTTATTTGGGGTACAATTGGCTTTTGTGCAAGTTTCCTTCTGCTTTTACCAAGTGCTTCCTCTTTAATCAATAGTCCGGAAAAAAATGGGGAGGACAAAACTGCTTTAAATTTTTGTTATTCCTTATCTCATTTATTACTTTCTGATAGCGACAAAGGTTTCTTGGGCGGTAGTTTTGACCTTCTTCTTTTTTTCTAGTTTAATTTTCCCGCTTCTCTATTTTCTGTTGTTTGGAACAACTTTAATTTACTTAAACTCTTTATCGGTTTGATTAAGCGGAATTTTGGTTTTTATTTTGAATCTTTCACCAGTTATTTGAGAAAATATTAAAGGATGAGCCCGAAGTCCGCAAGTAAACGCAAAATGAGTAGAAAATTTGGCTAAAGCAAGTAGTAATCTTTTGGTAATTATCCCGCTGGCTTTGCTGATTGGTGGCTTATTTTTGTTTCTTTACCGGGAAAGATTTCGCAAAAAAGATTTTAGTTAAAAAATTCTTGTGTTTCGCTTGGAAAAACCAATTTTGAATGGCTTCCAATAGGCTTTTCTTTTAGATTTATTGTTTCTTTTATTTTGCTCTCTCTCTCTCTCTCTCTCTCTCTCTCTCTCTCAAAAACAAAAATTTAACATATTTAACAAAAAAAATCAATACAAAACATAAAAATATAATATATGAATAAAGATGATAAAAAAAATAATCCAAAAAAAGTAACAGTTAAGTATAAAGGTCCAAAAGATACCGAAAAGAGAACATTTGAATTAGAAGTTAAAGACGAAGAGCAAACAGTCGATAACGAAAAGTTCAAAAATGTTAAGAGCAATCCATTTAGAACTAGTTATGAAATATATGTAGGAGGCTCGGATGATAAAAGCGGGAATGATTGAAAAACTCAATTTAGCCTCGGAATAGCATCATGGATAGCAATCGCTGTTGGCGTTCTTGCTTTATTGGCTGGTCTATACTTCCTTTTCTTCCGCAAAAAAAAAAATAAAAAGGAAGAAGAAGCCTTATAAGCAATTGGGCTTTTAAAAAAGGTTTCAAACTTGCCCTCTTTTCCCCACAAAATTTCATTCTCGGTGGGGAACATGAATTAATTAAAAAAATATGTTAAGTGATTTGGTGGATCCAATTGGTTCATTTTTAAAAAAAAACAACTCGCAATTACTCGAGAAAAGCAAACAGTATCCATTAATAATAAAATTCTCCGCTAGTTGGTGCGGACCTTGTCGGCAATTACAAGAAAAAATCAACGAATTGCTAAAAGAAAAAAAAGATTTATTATTTTTGGAAATTGATATTGAAAAACATTCTTCCTTGGCACAAGAACTCAATATTACTAGCATTCCGGCTTCTTTTCTTTTTTTTCAAGGAAAAGTAATCAAAGGTCCGCAACTCGGAAGAATGGATTTGCCGCAATTGAGAGAATTTGCGAAAGTTGATTAAATGGGCCCGTTGGTGAAGCGGCTAACACGCATGCCTTTCACGCATGTATTCATGGGTTCGATTCCCATACGGGTCACCAAAAATCTTTATTCTTTTTGCCAAGCACAAGCCAAGAAAAATTAAAATGAACGAGAATGAAAGAAAATAATCACCGTAGCCGTCCGGATTGAAATCCTTCTATTTCTACTTTTTTTTTAGCGGCTTCTTTCTTTCCTGCTTTAATGCTTACAATTATATTCTGATTGTTAGACGTTAAAATTTGTAGCAGGGGGTGAATTAGAGCTTTTTGTCTTCTTTGAATCTTTACAATGGCTACTACTGTAATCATTTATGTTTGCTATTTTTTGTTAAAAATGAGCCAAAGCAAAAATAGCAAAAAAAAGCAGGCAACAAAATATTTATTTTTTCTTTTTGGCGACCAATTGTTAATTAGTTTCCTAACTATTGCCGCCTTACGAGCAAACAAATCATGGATAATTTTTTTAATATTACTAGTAATACCAAAAGGATTTTTCATTCATTATTTTTTTAGCCGACCGGTTATGAAACTGCTCCATAATCAATACCCTGATTATTTTCCCAAAATTTTTGATAAATGGCGACAAAGGTTCACAGGAAAAATAAAAACAACGGGTTGACCGCTAATTTTAACCCTCTTTCTTGTTAATTTTCAAGTTACTTCTATGCTTTTTATTCAAAAATTAGTTAAGTAGTTGTTCCGCGTTTGCTAATTTCGGTTAAATTACGGCGGTAGATTTCCGCTTCGGCGAAAGAACAGTCAAAAACGAAAGCAAAAATTTGGCTAATTTGTTCTTCAAAAACCAGCGAACCATAAGTTTCCGCGAGAATTTGATTAAGAACCGGCGAAGAAAAAATTGCTTTTTGACCTTTTAGTTTCTTCTCCCGAATGACTTCAATGTTTTTTCTCGCTCCGGGACGATTAAGAGCCAAAATCAGCACCAAGTCTGCAAAATTTTGCGGTTGAAAATAATTAATTAATTCCCGAAAAGAAACAGTATCGAGTTGAGGAATGCCACTAACCAAACCATTATTTAGTAATTTTCAAGTGTTTTTGTCTTGGAGATTACATTTTGGTAATTGTTCTTTACCCAAAATTTCTTTGATTTCCCGTAAAGTTCCTAAACTGGTCAAATTGAGAAAGTCATATTTTTTTAAACCGAGAAGATTTAAATCTTTTTCCGAGTAATAACTAACTAAACAATCCTTATTTTGTTGGAGAGGAAGCAATTGTGTTAAAGACTTTTTTTTGTTTTCCGAAATAGCAAAGCCAGAAGCATGAAGAGAACTATTAAAATAAAAGTCTTTGATTTTTTTCGCCCAATTAAAGAGAAAAGGAAATTTGGCTTGCAAGGCTTTGGTTTTTAAATCTTCTTTCAGAACCTCATCTTTTACGCAACTCATTATTTCTTTTAATTGATTTTCATCAGTAATTGGCTTTTTTTGTTGATAATTAACGATTTTGGCACCTTCTTGGAAAGCTTTTTTTCAACCTACTTTTTGGCGGGTAGCCACGCGGGCAATTTGGTCTTGACCATATTTGTTTTGTAAATAATTAATTACTTCTTTTTGGTTTTCGACATCAATGTCAATATCCGGCGGGGATTTTCTTTTTTCGTTTAAAAATCTTTCAAAAAAAAGATTATATTCCAAGGGATCAATTTTGGTAATTCCTAAAAGATAAGCCACCAAAGAAGAAACGGCACTCCCCCTCCCGGGACCGACAATAACATTTTGCTGGCGTAAGCCATTAACAATATCGTTAAAAATAAGAAAATAGCGGGTATAGCCTAATTTATTAATGACTTGTAATTCTTCTTCTAATCGCACTTCGTATTTTTCGCGGGAGGGCTTATTTGAATAAAATAATGCTTGTTCGCAACAAGTTTTTAATTCCGTAAAATCATTTTTGTTGACGACTGACTTGCTGCTGAAAGAAAATTTCAATTCGATTCGCCGGAGAAAATCCTTTAACCGAGTGAGCAGAATTCCGTAGAATAGTCTGTCGCTGGTACAAAGAGGAAGAAACTCCTTTTCGTCGAGATAAGAGATAAATTTTTGGCGAATGTCTATTGGCAAGAAGGATTGGCTAAGCGAAGTTTTGGGCAAAGATTCCAAAAGCGAAGAATCTTCCCGAATAAGTGTCTTAACCGCAAAAAAAGGTAATAAATAAGGTAAGATGTGAGCCGGTAATTCTTTTTTGGGGTCCTTAATATAAAAATCAAAGCCAAGATAAGTCTGTGAGTTCGCTTTTTCCTTGACGGAGAAAAATGATTGCTGGGAAAAGTAAATAATGTCTTTTAAATTATGAACCGAAAAAACTAATAAGCAATTTTTTTGGCAAGAAATCACCTCTTCCAGCAAAAAAACGCGGTCAACGGGGCTGTTAGGGTTAAAAAATTTTTTAATTAACTCCTTGTAAGCACTACTATTTTGGGGATAGACAGTTAATAAATATTGTTTTTCGTTGACTTGGATAATCACTTTAATCCCGATTACTGGTTTAATTTTCTTTTCTTTGCATAAATTATAGAAACGCAAAAATTCGTAAGGATAATAATCAGCAGTCACTAGATATTCGCTGCGATTTTTTACTGCTCAACCAATCAGTTCCGGGATTTTGATTAAAGAAAAAGAAAGATTAGAATTAGTTTGAACATTCAAATGGGGAACAGAGAATGAGCCCAAATCACCACTTACCATATAATGTTTTTAGCTCAATTCATCTTTCTTTCTGGGAAGAGGAGAATAATTAACTTTTGTTTTTTTAATTCCAACATCGTTTTTGTCTTTGCCAGATTTTAAGTAAAAATTTAATAAATTCATGACCATTTGAAAAAAAGCAAACGAAGAAGGTTTGAGAAAAAAACTTGGCGAATCTTCCAAAAATCCTTCAAATAACCCAGTTATTGCCAAACTTCAAACCGAAAAAGAGCAAACAAGAAAGGAAAAAGAATTGTATTTTTATCTCGTTGCAATTGCTTATGATGGCAGTAATTTTGCTGGTTGAGCCAAGCAACCACGGCAATTTACTGCTCAGGGTTATATTGAAAAAGTTTTAAACAAAATTTTTAAAATAAACCAAACTTCTCAGCAAAAAATTAGTATTTTGGCCGCCAGCCGAACGGACAAAGGCGTTCATGCCCTCGACCAAAAATTCACTTTTCGCTTGCCTTTTTTTCTTGCCGGTCAGCAGTTAAAGCAAATCTTGGCTCAATCTTTGCAAAAATACATTCTAGTTAAAAGTGTTCGCCAAGTAAAAAAAACATTTCACCCGATTAAAAGCGTAAGCCAAAAAGAATATCGTTATTATATTAGCATCGGAGAATGTAATTTTTTTTCCAAAAAGTACTGTTGAGAATACAATTTACCACTTGATGCCAAAAAACTCAATAATATTTTAACTATTTTTCAAGGAAAACACGATTTTTTTAATTTTTCTTTTTGCCGCCAAAAAGATCAGTCTAAAACTTTCACTGAACGTACTATTGAAAAAATAAAATGTTGAAGAAGTAAAAAATTACTAATAATTAGCATAATTGCCCGCAGTTTTTTACGTTATCAAATTCGAGCCATGATTGGCGAAAGCATTAAATGTTACGAAAGAAAACAAGTCCCGGAAAAACTCAAAGAAAAATTAACTTCCCCCGAACAAAAAAATTTAAAATACCAAGCATTAGCCCCAGCGACTGGTCTCTATCTCTACAAAATAATTTACCAGTAAAGTTAAAAACTTTTAATAGAGAAAATGTTCAATTGATTAAAAAATTTAGCGAAAGGTTTCCACCAATTGCTTAATGAACCTAGTTGGGATAGTTTAAAAATTTTTTTCCGGAATAATTGACCAGCAATTTTGCTTTTTATTATCTTAGTTTTTGTGATTTCTTATATTGTTTCTAAAATTTTTGAAATTGTGGTAAAGGCTGCTTTAGTAATTTTCCTCATTTGATTTATTTTTATGCTGATTTTCAAGCGCAAAGAACTAATGGAAGGTTTGCGAAATATCGGAAAAGGTAGTGAGAATAGTCAACAAACCGACAATCAATCTGATAAATAATTAAAGAAGAAAAAGAATAATAAATTTTAGTCTGGTTATAATAATTTCTTTAATGGTGGCGGGACAATCATGAGCAAAAACCCGCCAAATAATAAGTTAGTTTAATTATCCAAGCAAAAGAGCAATGACAACGAAATCATGAAAAAACATTAATCATTGTGAACTATTTTTAGCAATTCAACTCTAACAAACTGTTGCTCGGGGTTTATTTTTTTTACTTTGGGTGAGTTAAAAGACAAGCGAAAGCAATTATTAATAAAAAGGCTCCCAAAGCAACACTAATCAAAAATGAAAAAAAGCCAATAATTAATAAAACAATCCCTATAATAACAAGGTTAGTTCTAGCTTTTTTCTTTTCCAAATCTTTTTTGCTAATCTCTTCTTCTTTTTCATTTTTTTCTTCCTCTTCTGTTTCTTTTTCCTGCTTACGCAAATTTCGCTCTACAATCATTTTTGTATAGCATTCTTTGTGGTAGCAACCACCCTTTTCAAATTCTCCCGAGCCCAATTCTCGCACTTCTTCTCCCTCGGGGATTTTTTCTAAACAATAATTACAAAGCATGATTTTATTACCAATTTTTAATTGTCAAATATAAAGCCACACAAAAATAAGCCACGGAAAGAACTAACCAAATTCAGCCAATAGTGGTTCACCTTTGTTCTTCTTTAATCACAAAAAAAATAGATAATTTGCGAAAAAAAATGGTAGCAGGAAGAGGACTCGAACCTCCGACCTGACGAATATGAGTCGTCTGCTCTAACCAACTGAGCTATCCTGCCTTTGAACGATTTTCACAAAAGTTTTCTTTTCTCGACCTTTGTAGTATTTGACTGTTCCTTTTTTTAAAGCAAAAAGTGTCCAATCGCCTCCCGTTCCCACATTTGACCCAGCTTTAATCTTGTTGCCTAACTGACGAAATAAAATCATCCCGGCTTTTACTGTTTCTCCATCGTGTTTTTTAATCCCCCGCCTTTTGGAAATTGAATCATGGGAGCGATTAGTTTTCGCTGAGCCACCAGCTTTTTTTTGGGCAAAAAATTGCAAATCTAATTTAAAAATTTTTTTTTTCATAATATATTAGTTTTTAAATTTGTTCTGTTTTTTTCAAACTCACATTTTCTTTTAACATGCTTTTAAATTTTTTTTGACATTTAATCCATATTATTAAATGGTAGGACTGAGTGGAATCGAACCACCCATCTCACCCTTATCAGGGGTGCGCTCTAGCCGCTGAGCCACAGTCCTGTTTAATTTACATTAACTGCAAAATTTAGTTCATTTTGGTTTTGCTTTATTCTTTGTTTTAGTTTTTGTGCGTACTCTTTTGCTTCTTGACTGACTAATTCTTGAAAAACCAACGGCTGCCAAATTTTTTTCTTGCTTTTAATAAAACAGCAAACATCTCCAAAAAGGCAATTCTCTATTGCTTCACCAACTTCTTTCTCTATAAAAATAATTTTTACTTGATCTTTGGAAATTTCTATTTGTTCAATTTTATTAATTACTTCGGTAGGCAAAATTGTTAATAAATGCCCTTCGAGTTCGGCAGACTTATCTTTCTTTTCCAACTCCCAAAGGTTAACTTTGCGAAAATAATAAAACAGATTGTCTTTGCTCATTTCTTTTCATTGTAACTCTTTGCTTAAAGAATTAATAATTTCCCGCGGTCTTTCTTCGTCTTTTCCTTCACAATAGAGGACAATTTCAAAAAGAGCTTGATATAATTTACCAAAATGCTCGTTGCCGTTGCTTTGCTTTTGTTTTCATTTTTCCCAAATTTGGTATACTTTTTCTTTGGGAAAACTGTGCTCACGAGCAAGGCTTAATGCTTTTTCGGAAACTCCTCCTTCTCGTTGGACTAGGAGTTCAATTTCTCTTCTTACTCTTTGGTGTTCTTGACTGCGAACTTGGGCTTGGCGACCTTTTCTTCATTTCACATTTGCCGCGTGGGAGTGTCCTGCCATTTTTGTATATTTATATAAAGTTTTATTGAACTAAATCCTTAATCGCTCATTTTTGTCTGTACCCAAAATAACTATGAAAATAGAACGAAAGTTAACTCCAAGCAAGCCAAAAGTCAACCACGGTGGGCGTTTTTGTGTGGGGTACGAACTTCACCTGTTACCATTCTCGCAAATTATTTCTACAAGGAGAATTCAAACAAGAAATTTTATTAAAAAAAGATTATGACCTTTCTTGCTTTCGGCAATCATACTGTCCGTAGTTTAATAAATTCTCCTTATTTCCAATTAAAGAAAGTTCTGCTTTTGGCGGATAAATACGAAAACGATCAAGAATTGCTCCAATTATTAGAAACTAAAAAAATCTCTTGTCAATTGCTAGCCAAAAATGATTTTTCCCGTTATAGTTTTGACAAAAAAAATCAAGGCATTGTTGCTTTTATTAAAGAATATGCTCATACTTCGCTTCACACTTTACTAAAAAAAAAGCCAAACCGCCAATTCCCTTTGTTAATTATGCTCGATAGCATTCAAGATCCCCACAATTTTGGGGCAATTTTACGGACTTGTGCCGCTTTAAAAATAGATGGAGTGATTATTGCCACTGAAAACCAAGTCCCAGTGAATAGCACTGTAATCAAAGTTTCCGTGGGTGGCGCAGCTTATGTTCCTGTTTGCCAAGTCAATAACTTGTTAGAGGCTATTAATGAGTTAAAAAAAGCTGGCTACCGAATTGTTTCAACAGTTTGCCAATCAGGAGCCCAAGAATATAATCAAATAGAGTTTAGTTTCCCCACTTGTTTAGTTTTTGGTAGCGAGCACCAAGGAATTAGGCAAAAAATTATTCAAAAGAGTGATAATTCTCTTTATATCCCAATGAGTAATAATATTAGTTCTTTAAATGTTTCTGTCAGTTGCGGAATTATCCTAGCCCAGATAATTAATCAGTGAGAAAGAAAAATAAGAAATTTCCAAAGTAATTAGGTTCAAAAAACAATTTTATTAAATTTGTCCCAGTGATTATTTTTGTAGAAAAATTATGAATGAAATATTTGTTAACGTTTAAAATCTTTCAATTAACTTGTATAAAATTTGATATCAGTAATTTTGCGACCTTTATCTTTTAATAAATTTTTGCTTCGACTTTCGTTATTTTTTAAGAAATCAGCCAAATCTTTTTTGTTGTATCAGCAAACATCTTCTTGGGTCAATAAATATATTTCAGGGTTCCCCTCTTTATTGACTAGACGCACATGCTGTAGAGGATTTTCTACCGAGGCTTTGTGTTTCTTTGTGGCTTGTTCTTGGCACTTTTCACAGCCTTTTCTTTCGGTTTTCAACTTATTCAAAGTTAGGCATTTAGTTCGGTTGCCAAGGGCTTCGTGACGGAGTTTGGTGCTTTGTTCTTTTTTTTTCTCTAAATCAGTGGTTAATTTTTGAACTTCTTTGGCCGCGTCCGGTTTGGTTTTCTTTCAGTTTTCTAGTTTTTCTTTTATTTCTTCGATTTTCTCTTTGGCTTGCTGAATTTGTTTGTCATACTTGTGGCAATGATTACAAGTCTCGTGCTTGACCATTTCTTCTTGAGTTTTTTGCTCATGATTACTACAATATTTTTGGCAATCTCGGCATTTTTTATTTTTTTCCTTAAAATCATTTATTTTATCATGCTGACTTTTATATTCGTCAAGTAGTTTCTGGTAAGTTGCTCCTTTTTGTTTTAAATCTTGGGTTTGAGTGGCAATAGCTACTTCACCAATGGTTGGGTCAACCGGAGAGTTAGCAATTTTTCTTGCCATTTCTTTGGTATTTACTCCGGTAATTATTTTGCTATCTTTCATTATTTTCTCCTTAACTTCTAGCGGCAGAGTAGATTTTAGTATCCTCTCTTCGGCTTTTTCTTTTTCCTCCCGCAATTCGCTTTCAACTTTGTCTTTGGCTTTTTTCAATTTTTCTAAATCAATTCAATGTTTTTTACAATAAGGCGTTTTTTTTAATTTACTACTATCGGAACTGATTCAAGTTTTAGTCGCCGACAGTGGCTTTTTTTCACCCGCATTATCTTTTTTAATTAAGAGCAGCAGCAGATTGTCCTTGTTTTCTCCGGCTTTGATTATTAATAAGTCGATTACTTGTTCACACTTTACTTGCTTGCGGGTTTGTTTAGTAAATAATTGGGGATTTTGACAGCCTTGACATTCTTTAATTTCAGTGGTTAATTTTCTAAATTGGGAGCAACGAGAATAAGCCTTAACACCTTGACTTTTATCGCAACAATTAGCAGTTTTGTGTTTCTTTAACTGGTTTTGGTGAACGGGACAATAAATTGCTTTTCCTTCTTCATCCTTTTTTCTCATCTGGCGGTAAAGCGGAGTTTTTAAATTTTTTACTTGGCCATCCTTGCCTTTCCGTTTCAGAATAATTTCTATTTCTTCATCGCCTTGAATCAAAACGCTTTTAATAATTTCGTCACCACTACCGGTTCATTTTTCTTGACAATTATTACATTCCTTAATTTGCTTTTGAATTTCTCTTAATTGTGGACAACCAATACCACAAACATGAGCAATAGTTTTATGTTCGGCTAATTGGCTCTGGTGAAGCGAACATTTTTCAATAGTTTTTTGGTAAAGACTAATTAATTTCTTCCCTGATTTGCTGATATTTTGCAGTTTTTCGGTCGGAATGAGTTTAATTTTTCCTTTGCGGGTGATAATAAGCAGAAATTTCTCGGCAAACCCTTCTTGGACTGGCAAAGCCGTGGTGAAGAATTCTTGGGATTTCAGCGTTGGTTTTAATTCTCCTTTTCTAATTCTCGTGAAATACTCCTCGTCTAAGTTAGTAGTTTTATTGAAAGCGACAAATTTATAGAAAGTAAGGCTATATAATCTACCATAACTAGAAAAACATCACAAATCATCGCGACGGTCCAGTTTAATCAGGGCTCAATTATCGCCCCGGGTTTTTAGTTCTTTGCCTTGGCTAGGAATATTGGTTGGCTCCACTGCCGAAAGACTGTGTGCCGTTAAATAATTATTAACTTTATTTTCTTTCTTGTTTTCTGAACGGCTCAATAAAACAATTCTTTCTTCGTGGGGAATTAATTGTCTTTCTTCAATTGAGTGTTGGGTTGAAGTAACTGTCGTTTTTCTTTTATCTTGGGGATAATCATTTTTTAATGCTTGTAATTCTTGAATTAATTTTTCTTTTCTTTTGGCTTGGTCAGTAATTACTAATTGTTGCTCATTATTGTCTTGTTGTAATTTATCAATATCATTTTGTAGTTTTTCTCGGCGTTCGGGAGTAAATTGGCGAAAACTAGCGGGCGTATCTAAAATGCGATTAATGGCTTCTTGTTCTAAATTGCTGGTTTTTTCCGGTGAATCAGGTGATTTCTCCTGGATGGTTCGCAATTGGTGCTCTAACTTTTTTAACTCGGCTTGGAAACGAGTTCTTAATTTTTGTTCTCGTTCTTCATCGGAGGAAGCACCATGAGCAATTTGGGCGATTTCCTGGTAATTTTCAATAATGAAGCGGCGGGTTTCTAAATTAATCAATTCTTTCTGATTTTTGTGATAAATAAATTGGGCCTTTTTTTGAATATTTTCTAAGCGTTGATTAATAAATCCTTGCAGAACTTCTTTGAGCGAAAAAATCTTGGGTTGGTCATCAATCAAGGCCCGCATTTTCACCGAAAAAGAATTTTGTAGTCTGGTAGTTTTGAATAGTTGATTGAGAATAACTTCCCCATCGTAATTAGGGTCAAAGCGGCAATGAATATTAACCGGTTCTTCATAACTGGAATAATCAGCAACATTACGCAAACCATCAATTTTTTTGTCTTTAATTATTCGACTGATGTTTTCTACTAATTTGGCCTTGTTAACTTTATAAGGTAATTCAGTAATATGAATTAAATCTTTTTTTGGTTTAGTGGAATTATCTTCTTTCTCCGGCTTGCTAGAAATAATTTCGGCTTTGGCCCGAATGTAAATAGTCCCTTCGCCTTTTTCGTAGATACTATGTAATTTCTCTTGTTCTAAAATTTGACCACCGGTTGGGAAATCAGGTCCTGGCAGATGAGTAATTAATTGTTCCAAAGTAATTTCTGGTTCCTGAATAAGACTAATGGTCGCATTAACTACTTCTCCTAAATTATGGGGCGGAATATTAGTACTCATTCCGACGGCAATACCACTGGAACCGTTTAATAATAAATTAAGACTAGCTGGTAAAATCTTGGGTTCTTTTTGGTTTCATCGTAATTATCAATTCATTCCACCGTTTCAAAAGCCAAATCTTCTAGCAGATAAGCACCAAATTTAGTTAAACGAGCTTCGGTATAACGCATCGCAGCGGCGGGGTCACCATCCATTGAACCTCAATTTCCTTGACCATCCACCAATGGATAACGACAATGGAAGTCCTGAGCCATTTTTACCATGGCTTGGTAAATACTTTGGTCGCCGTGGGGGTGATAATCACCCATTACGTCCCCGATAATTTTGGAGGCTTTGCGATGGGCTTTGCCCGGAAGCAGATTTAATTGATAAAGAGTATAAAGTATTCTTCTTTGGACTGGTTTTAAACCATCATATAATTGCGGCAAAGCCCGGTCTTCCACGACCGCATAAGCATAATCCAAGAATTTGACCAATAAAGCCTGACCAATGTCTACCTTATTATCAACGACTGTTAATTGAGCATTTTTATGTTCGCCACTTTCTAAACGTCTTTTGCGTGGTTCACTTTTGGCGCCCATTAAATCTTCAATGATGTCCCGAATAGAAGGGGGGTTAGGGAAAAGTAATTCGTGGAGACAACGCTTCTTGACCGCCATGGTAGTTTCCCGTAATTGTTGGGGATTCATTTCTCCTAATCCTTTAAAGCGTTGTAAACGACCAGCCGTTCCTTTGGTTTGCTGTTGGTAAGTCTCTAATTCATAATCATTATAGAAGTATTTAGTTTCTTTTTTAGTTTGTAAGCGGTAAAGAGGGGTCACTGCCAAATAAAGTCGATGTTCATCAATCAAGTAGCGGAAATAGCGGACAAAAAAAGTTAAAGCCAAACATTCAATATGCTTACCGTCCGCATCGGCGTCGGTCATGATTACTACTTTTCCGTAGCGGAGTTTTTTTAATAGGCTTTCTTGGGTTTTCTCAACTATGGTTCGTAATTGTTCTCCGGTGAGAAAAGTGTGAGCCGGAATTATTTGTTCTTGTTCGTTTTCGTCTTGATAAATAAATTCTTCGGGGATTTCTAATTCTTCGGTAATATCACTTTCTATTTTCGTTCGAAAGCGATTATAGTGATTTTGGGTGGCTTCGCTGACACTAAACCCTAAGGCATTGATTAAATTCTTTATTTCTTCGTTCTCTAAAATTTTGTTCCGCTCGGCTTTTTCTACATTGATGATTTTTCCCTGAACTGGTAAAACCGCTTGATTATAAGGGTCACGAGCCGACTTAGCACTACCGCCCGCCGATTCTCCTTCCACAATAAATAATTCGTTGTTGACTGCTTCTTTGGAAATACAAGGGGCTAGTTTGCCGGGCAAAGCGGCACCGCGTCCTCCCTCCCGCAAGGATTTTTGGTATTCCTCGGTTTTCGCTCGATTTTGGGCGGTTTCAATGATTTTTTGGCTAATTGCTTCCGCACTATTGCCGTGGTCTTGGAGGAATTTTTTAACTAAATCGTAAGTAATGTTTTTAACTATATCCCGCACGGGAGTCATTGCCAAACGATATTTAGTTTGACCAGAGAATTGGGGGTCTTTCACCCGAATAGCCAAAATGGCAACTAATCCTTCCAAAATGTCGTCGGCTTTTATGCTTAATTTCAGATTAGTATATTTTTCTTTGATTCAATCACGACAAGCACTAATTAAGCCATTTTCAAAACCGTCCAGGTGGCTTCCCCCACCGCCAGTGCTAATGTTATTACAAAAAGACTTAATTTGGCTCTTTTTTTGTTCTTGATTATACTGAAAAGCAAAATTTAAGTAAAAATACTCTTTTTGGTAATTTCCTTCTTCATTTTTTCTTATTGGAATCAGGTCAGTTCATTCCTCCGTGCAGACTTCGGTATTTTCTAAGTAATTCTCTTGGTTTAGTTCCTTTACTCAGCCGGCTAAGCCACTGCTAAAATGATAAGTAATTGGTGCGGCGTCAGGAGAAGGGTGAAAAATTAAAGTTAAATTAGGATTAAGATAAGCCAAATCTTTGAGGCGATTTTGAATAGTCTCAATTTTGAAATAAGTAAATTCAGGAAAAATTTTCGAGTCGGGAGTAAAGGTAACAATAATTCCGCTTGGTCTTCCCGGAGTGTCAATAACTTGTGAATTTACTAAATTTCCTTCCCGGAATTCGACTATTCCTGTTTTATCTTTTTCTTGACAATTATTGCACCCCTTAATTTGCTTTCTTAATTCTTCTAATTGTTGACGGCAAGTTACACTCCCACAAGGGTGGTTATCGTCTTCGTGTTTTGCTCATTGGGTTTGGTGAAGCGGACACTTTTCAATTACTTTTCGGCTACTTTCGGCTCGCAGATAGGTTGACAAAGCGTTAACGGCGGTTACTCCTACTCCGTGTAATCCCCCCGAGGTTTTGTAAACTTTACTTTTTAATTTACCACCAGCGTGAAGGATAGTAAAAATGGTTTCCAAAGAATTTTTTTTAATAGTAAGGTGTTTTTCAATAGGAGCACCACGCCCATTATCTTCTACCGTAATAGTTTTTTGGTCCGCTGAAAGAGTTATTTTGATTTGACTACAATAACCAACGACTGCTTCGTCAATCGAGTTATCAATTACTTCTTGAAAAAGATGATGTCAACCTTGTTCGTCAGTTGAGCCAATATACATTGCCGGGTAATTTCTGACTGAGTCAATATCTCCTTTTGGAACTTGAATACTTTCGGCTTCGTAATCAATCTCTTGTTCTTCTATGATTTTTTTTTTGTCATCCATGGATTATATTAATTTTTACAGTATAATTCGTTAAATTTTGGTTTATTTGTTCAGCAATTCAAAAACTAGTAAAAAACAATTGAAATTGATTTACTAGGAAAAAATTGGAAAAAAGAACTAATTTTCAATAAAATTATCAATATGAGTTGAAAATTTTGGTGACCATGAAGCGCCGGGGTAATGATTGGTGTCATTCTAGCCTGGCTTATTTTTATCGGAATTTGGGTTGCACAAATAATTCGTTTGTCTAAAAGAAAAGATAAAACTCTGATGTGGGTAGTGTTAATTTTAGGTTTTGCCATTACGCCTTTTCTCGCTGGCTTAATAGGTTTATTTCTTGGTAGAGAGAGAGATAATTAAGCGTTTATTTTTGAGTGCGAGAGAAGCGGTTTAATAAATTCAGGGCAAATTAGAGAATAATGATTAAGATATTTTACCAGTTGGAGTTGGGCAAAAATAAGAAGCAATTTAAATATATCAAAGTCCAGGGTCATGCTAATTCTGCCCCCAAAGAAAAAGATTTAGTTTGTGCGGGAATTTCGGCAATTGTTAACGGCACCGTTAATTTTTTGCAAGAAAATTATGCTGAAGACTGCCAAATTTCAGTTTTTCCCGCGGAGATAATTATCAATTGTTTTTTGCCAAGTAATCAAAATTTTCAACTGTTGCTAGAAATGTTTTTTTATCAATTAAAGAATGTTGCTTTGACTTACCCCCAATATTTTCAATTCTTTGAGAGAAATGGGTAAAGCATTTCGTGCGAGAAATGTTTTTTTATCAATTTTTATGTGATTTTGTCACGTCTCCCTTAGTGATATACAAAAGTCTTCATTTTTCGGCTTTTCTTGCTTCTTCACCTAGTTCTAAATTTAAATCATTTACTCATTTTGATTTTTTTTCTGTTATTTCCGGATTAGGATTATTATCATCTTTAACTTCGACTAGCCAGTGAATACCATTCGTCTATTACCAAAAAATCTGGAAAATAGTGTCTTTGCTTTTTACCATAAAGAATATAAGTTTCATCTCCCCATTGTAAAAGTCTAATTTAGAGTAATCTTAAGCAAACTATCTCAATCATCTCCCGATTTATCAATATCTTCTTCGGTAATAAACAAATAAGTTCACTTCTTAGTTTGTTTAGAATTTAGTTTTTCTATTTATTTGTTAGCCGCTTCTGCTTTTCTTCGCACAATCTCGTTGTTCCTGTCTTCTTCTGATTTTATCTCTACTAAATAATATAACTCTTCATTATCAATAACAATAAAGTCAGGATAGTAGCGACGATAACCATTATATCAATAATTAAGGTAGATATTATCCGTTATAAGTAGTCTAATTCATTTTCTAATTTTCTTACTTTTGTCAATTAAAGCAGCAAATTTTCTTTCAATACTACTTTGAAAACTATCATAAGTATATAAACTTTTCTGAAATCCATAGCCAATTCATCTCAACCTTCTTTAAGCATTCCCACCGCGATAATAATTTTCTTGGGATTATTAAAATCATCAATAGTTTGTAATTCTTGGGCCAGAGTCTCGTTAATATTACTGCTGTCTATGCGAATTATCTTTTCAGTTAAATTATGTTCGCTTTTCAACAATACTTCTGTTTCCTCGGCATGTTGAATATTCTCGGCTATTATTAACATTAAAGCCTTTCGCGGTTCCAATTTGTAAATTTTAGTGTAAAGGTCAAGTTGCTCTTGCTTTCGGTTAAGAGTGATAAGAGCATCTTCCAGTTTAGTTTTCTCATTATCATAACTGTCTTTTCGACCAACAATTACCGGCTTTTTAATTAATTTGTCTTTTAAAGCATAGGCCAAAGGGTAGCGATAAATTATTTCTTGCGGCGGAGTTTCTTTGTGAGGTGTGCCAGTTAGTCCAATTAAAATTTTAGGTTTTAGTTCCCGAATGGCTTCGGAAAACTTTTCTCCATAATATAAATGGTGTTCGTCGGCAAAAATAACCAAATCATCTAATTTGCTTAAATGTTCCCGTAAAGATTGACCTAATAATTCGTCATAATTGCTAGTTTTGCGAGCTGTTTTGCCGCGGGCTTGGGTTAAAGATTGAACGGTAAAAATAAATAATTTAACCGAGTTTTTGTCAGTAATTTTAGCAGTGTGAAAGTTTTTGATGTCAATAATATGGGGTGGTTTAATGGTTAATTTATCAGCCAAAGAGTTAGGTTTGTTAAGTGAAAAATTGTTAATGGTCTTTTCTCTGATTATTTTTCCCGGAGCCACAATTAGAAAATTAGTTATTTTTTCGGCTTCGGCTAAATAGTTTAAAATAGCCGCCATGATATAAGTTTTTCCTACTCCGGTGGCTACCGAGAGAATACATTCAGACCAATTTTCAGACTTGTAATAATAATTTAAAAGGGTTTGAACTGCTTCTTTATTTGGTCGGCGGAGTTCCAGTTTTTTGGCAATGTTGTCGAGGATGATTTGGTTAAGCATTTTTTAATAAATTATACTATCTGCATATTATACTAGACAAATTGGAATAGAAGTGGCTATGCCAACTAATGTTATATTTTTTACTTCGTATCCTGAATCTTTAATTTCTTTTTCATAAATCCTTAACTTTTTTTCTAAATCTACATTGTCTGGCTCGCCCAAAGAATTAATCACTATTTATAGATTGTCCAGTATAATTTCACCTAACCTTGCTCAAATGAAAGGCTGTTTTTCTTGTGAAAAATTTTTTGGGTAAATAAGTAGCGAAGGATCTTTGAGAGTTTTTTCATCGTAAACCATTGGAGAATCATTAAAAGAGACAGTCAAGAACCGAAAAAAATTCAATGGGGTTCTCAAATTTTTAGTAATTTCTTTTAGCAAGAATCATTGCAAATAATTTTTTTTTACTTTCTCCTCAGTAATAAATTTGCCACTTTTGTTATCTTTCATTTTCATTGAAAAAGGAATAGGAGTTATAATTCACAAAACTCTCTCTCTCTCTCTCTCTCTCTCTTTTTTTTTTTTTAAATTGAGATTGTTTTTCTTTTGCTTCTTTCTCTTGGTCTGTTGAGTTAATTAAGTCTGCTATGCTTTTTATTAAGTCGTTAATACATGCTTTTCCTAAATTCCAGGTCAAAGATGTTTCTGTTTCTTTCTCGATTTCGATGCCTAATATTTTTTTTTCCGACTGCTTATTTTTTAATTGTTCTGCAACGAATTGAAATCGGCTACGTCCTCTTAGATTCTCATTCTTTTCTGGGTTATAATTCTTTATCTGCCCTTTTATTAGACCCTGGATGAACTGCCCGGCATCCATTTCTTCTATTTCCTTTTCTTTTCCTTTCTTTTTTTTATAATAAATAGTTGGAAATCTGTTTCTTTTTACTTCTATACCTACTGACTTGTTTTCTTTATTCTCAAAAAACGGACTAATAAGTATGTCTATATCAGACTCCTTGTTGGGGAGTTTGTGGTTAAACTTGACCTCAAAATTTAGTTCTTTTTCGCGACTTTGCTCTTCACTCTTAAAAAAATGGTTCATTATTTCTAAAAAAGTCGGTTTAAATAGGTTAAAATTATGACTTATAGAACCATATTTAAACAATTCTATCTCTGATTCTTTTCAATTTTCGTTTTTGTGAATAAAAAGGTTTCATTTTCCGTTTTGAGAATCTAGGGGCAACAGAACTGCTTCTTTTCTGTTAATATCCATCCAAAAAGAGAGCAAGTAAATACCTATATTTTTCCACCACATCACAAAATAATCTCTTTCTTGAGCATTAATAGAACTTACTCCTTGACTGATTCTTGCAACAATCGGAAGTATTTTTTCACTTCATGATTCCCTGATTGTTCTGTCATTAGTTGTTCCAACAATTCCGTGAAAAACCCACACACCTTTTTCTTTTCCATAACGAAAATATTCAGGATTTGAATTCAGCAAAAAGTTTAACAATCCATCCGTTAACATGCCTTCCACTACTGCTAATAAAACATCTCCTTTTTTGCCGCAAAAATATTCATTTTCCGGCTGGTAATCATACTCTAACTGGGTCGCCACCAATTTCGCTAATTTACCATTCAAAACATTTTCAGCCAAGCAAATTATTCCGGAATGAGTGTCGAACATAGATTTTTCCACTGAAAAATAAGTAAATCCGCTGCCGCCAGTTCAATTTACCTCTTCACTAATTCCACCTTTATCCTCACCATCAACAACTTTTTTCAAACGAGGAACCACAAAATTATTAATCGTATCCTCATTTTTTTCAACAATAACTCACTTTCTCTTTAATTTTTGAGCCACGGCAGCGGTAGTTCCAGAACCAGCAAAATAATCCAGCACGATATCGTCTTCATTCGTAGCGATTTGGATAATTCTTTTTAGCAGTCTTTCCGGTTTGGGAGTTTGAAATGGCTCATTGTTCGGAAATAATTTTAAGATTTCTTTTTTTGGCTTCGTCGTTGCGTCCTGCTTCATCGTGCGGTCATCAAGTTGTTGGCATTTTCTCGCTCGCTTCGGAAAGAAAAAATTTTATTCTTGGAATATTGTCTCCCTCTTTGCCAAAATATATGCGATTATCTTTTTTTAATTCCTCAAACTTTTCCTCATTCATTCGCCAAGAGCGTCCAACGGGAGGAACAATTTCTTTTCCGCTTGGCGTGATAATTGTGTATCTGTTTTTTGTGATAGTTCCAACAGTAAAATCACTTCCTCGCCAGGGTCCACGTGGGTCGTTGTCAAAGTTTTATAGTTTTTATCCATTTTGGTATCACGAGGTAGGCGGTTAAAATCTAACTTTTCTTTGTCTTTGGCAAAAATTAATAAATTATCATGGCTAAAAGAAATAAATTTTGATAGTCCTTTCGGTGAATAATTTTTCTGTCAAACCACATTCGCTACAAAATTTTCTTTCCCAAAAATTTCATCCAAAACCAGTTTAAAATGATATAATTCGGTGTCGTCTAAATGAACTCATAAAGAGCCATCATCACTTAATAATTCATAGGCTTTTAGCACTCTATCTCGCATCATAGTTAACCAAACTGAATGCTCTAATTGGTCGTCATAATTAGCAAACATTTGTCCGGTATTAAAAGGAGGGTCAATGTAAATTAACTTGACTTTATTAACATACTTTTTTCGGTATTCCGGAATTTTGTTTAAACTGGTTAAAGCATTTAAACTATCGCCATAAATTATTAGGTTATCAGCAGAGTTTTCACCAAATTTCTCCATTTCTTTTAGTAATCTTACTTCCGAAACCCGGTAATCATTGGGTTCCACTCATTCATACTTAACTTTCTCATAATCACTAACAATTAAAGTTTTATTTTTGTTAACTCAATTTAGTTCTAATTTGCCGGATAATTTATTGTTCATGATTCTTTTTCTTTTTAATTTTCTTTCTTTGCAGATACTCAAGGAACATCAAATAAATTCATTTCATTAAATTAAATAACTAATTTACTTAAACAGTATTGCACGTTTTAATTCGACTCACATCAGGACGGTTTCTGTACATAGTAGATAGTATAATTTTTAATAGTTATTTAGGTGGACGAGTTCTTGGTCTTTGTTATTTTTTTCTTAAATTCTCTTTTTTTCTGGGCTTGCTGGCTTTGTTTTTTACCTCAAAGTTTCCAGTAAACTAAGCAAATCAGCAAAATCGGAAAAAATAAGAGGGTTAGGAAAAATCTAGCATTGGACATAAAAAGGCGTATGAAAAAGGAGAACGGAAAATAATATAAAAAAATATTTATAAATGTAAAATATATATATTATGAAAACAATAGTAATAATTAAAAAGCAAATAAATAAAATAGTGAAAGGAGGAAAAAGATAGTATGACATGAGATTCTAGCAGCGTAAATAAAGATACAAAAGATTTTAAAACAGCAAGTTTAACCATTGCTGGGATAAACAAACGTGCTAGTTCTGATATAAAAGAAAACGAAAAAGGTTCACAAGCAATAAACGAAACAACTTGACCTTATCGTGTTCAAACCAAAGAAAGCCTTCTTTACGCTAATGGTGAATTCAACAATTTAAGTATTTTTCGTATTCCCTATTCAAATCATCCAAGTGGGAGAAACAGAGAAACAAATCTTGATGTATTTTATTTCTTTGTCTACTTTTTAAACCGAGAAATAGAAATACCGCTTAGATTCAAATTTGTGAGCGAAGCAAACGTAGCCTATTTTGGATTAAGCACAGGAGATAATAGTTCCAATGATGTAGCATGAGTAAAAAATATTATTCAAACAGAAAAATCCCGTTGAGATGCTCTTGGTTATACTGAACCCGAAGACTTAATCCAAGAAAATAAACAGTATGTAGATAAAGGAATTAGAAAAGAACACCGTAATCGTCCTTCTTATGAAGATTTACAAACTCAATTAGAACAAGCCAAAAAAGACAAAGAAGAAAATGAAGCCCCTAGTTTTGAATCTTTCGTGGAAACCGAAGCCAAGACTCTCCAACAACCTAATTATCCCTCTCAGAAATAAAACTAATATAAAACTATGACTAAATGTGATATCTGCGGCAAAAAGTTTAGCGGGAGTATTCTGCGCTATAATGGCACTACTTACTGTCCCGACTGCCGCCAACAAGCCGAAAGCCAAGGCAACGCTCCTTGAAATAAATTTTTAAAACCTGGTGGTCTTCACTTAGGCTGGTGAATTGGAATTGGAGTTCTTTTATTAGTAGGATTAGGAGTTTTGATTTATTGACTAATAAAAAGAAAAAAATAATACAACAGCAAAAAAGAAACTAAAAATCAGCCAAAAAATTTTAGCAAAAGGGCAGCCAGTTGTCATTTTTTTACTTATTGAACTTTTACAGTTTTCTTTTCTTGTTTTTGAATTATTTGAGTTTGGCATTTTTATCTTTTAAAGCCCTTTTTTTGCTAAAATTTTAAATAAATTAAATGTTTCGCAATTATAATTGTTCGCAATTAACTTCTCAACTAGAAAACAAAAAGGCAGTTTTGAATGGCTGAACGAGAAGGATGCGAAAATTAGGGAGTTTGTTATTTTTTGATTTGCACGACTCTTCCGGAATGGTTCAGGTAATTGTAAAAAAAAAAGAACTAATCAGCCCTCTCCAAAGAATTAATTCTGAAACTTTGCTCCGGATTTGTGGAACCATCCGGCCAAAAATTACTCGTCAGCCAAAGCAAGAAATTGAAATAGAACTCGAAAAATACCAAGTAATCAACCGAACTAAGCCTTTGCCTTTTGAAATTAAAGACGAAGTAAACATTAATGAAGACACCCGCTTCCGTTATCGCTATTTAGATTTGCGCCGTAATATTAGCAAAAAACCTTTAATTATCAGACACCATTTTCTTCACCAAACAAGGAATTATTTATCCAAGCGAGGATTTGTTGAAGTAGAAACACCAATTTTAGCCCAAAATTCCCCCGAAGGTTCTAACTGTTTCGTTGTTCCTTCTCCGCTAGGAAAGCAAAGATATTACACTCTGCCGCAATCTCCCCAAATTTTTAAGCAATTGTTAATGGTGAGCGGCTTTGCTAAACACTACCAAATTGACAAAAGTTTTCGCAACGAGGGCGCCCGAAGTAATCGACAAATTGAATTTTCTCAACTAGACTTAGAAATGAGTTTTACCTCAGCAAAAAAAATAATGAGTTTTGTAGAAAAGTTTCTAAAACCTGTCCTAAAAAAAATCTTTGGCTACCACTTGAAAACTCCTTTTCTTACTCTAACTTATCAACAAGTAATGGAAAAATACGGCACTGATAAACCTGATTTGCGTAATCCTAATAACAAAAATGAACTAAATTTTTTGTGAATTGTCGATTGACCGCTTTTTGAATATAACAAAGAGGCCAAAAAATACGAAACTTTGCGGCACCCTTTCACTTTACCAAAAAAAAAATACATTGAACCTTTGCTAAATGATAAGATTAAACCAGAAAAAGTAATTTGTGAAGCTTTTGATTTAGTTTGCAATGGCGAAGAAGTATTAAGCGGCAGTTTAAGGATTTACCAGCGAGAATTACAAGAAAAAATTTTCGCAATTTTAGGTTATACTCAGCAAAGACAGGAAAAATATTTTGGTTATTTTTTGCAAGCCTTGGAGTTTGCGGCTCCTCCGCACGGAGGTTTTGGCTTAGGAATTGACCGCTTGCTAGCAATAATCCTTAATTTAAAAAGTTTAAAAGAAATTATTGCTTTTCCCAAAAATATTGATGGCAGTTGCTCCTTAACCGGAACTCCTAATCATTTTGAATAGAAAGTAAAATTTAAAAAAAATGAAATGTTTTTGTTTGGCCTCTTAATTTAATCATTAAAAATATAAATATGCCTTTGTTGATTAGTTTTGAAGGAATTGATGGTAGCGGTAAAACTAGTTTGGTGGAAAAATTAAGCCAAAAATTACCAGATTCCTTTATCACTAAGGAACCCCGGGGCACAGAATTAGGCAAAAGAGTTTGACAATTAACCAACGAAGCCTTGGCAAATGAAAAACTCACTATTGACAGTTGAAGCCAGTTTTTTCTTTTTGCGGCAGCCCACAACGAACACCTTAAAACAATAATCAGACCGCAGTTAGAACAGGGAAAATTAGTATTAGTCGACCGCTATATTGACAGCACTTTTGTTTACCAAGGATTGCGGGGAAATTTGGCAGAAGAGCAAAAAAAAATGAGAGTAAACTCAATCAGGGAAGTTTTCCAAAAATTTATCAACACCCCTTTTCCTCACTTAACTTTCATTCTCGATTTAGAACCAGCCAAAGCCCAAACTAGATTAAACAAGCGGGAAGAAGTAAATAATTGAGATAATTTAAACTTGGAATTTCACCACCAAATTCGCCAAGGTTACTTAAAATTAAAAGAATACTTTCCCCACCGGAATTATTACGTTATTGATGCCGACCGTCCTTTAAAAAATATAGAGGAAGAAATTCACCAAGTTATCGTTAATTTTCAAAATAATTCAAAAAGGAGATAGAAAACATGAATAATCATTGAAATTCTTAGATTTGCCTTTTAATGGAAAAGCAAAAATGTCAAAAAAAATTATTAATATGGAAAAATGAGAATGAGTTGATTGATTAGATAAAGGAGAAATCCGTTTAACTGACACCCTGCTTGCCGACATTAAAAAAGAAAAGAGTTATTATGGTAATACTTTTTTCTCCCTCCATTTAGTAAAAGGCAATGAAACTTACGAAGCAGTTGCTTTTGTAGGAAAAGAAGAAGTAATTAGTTTAGAAGAAAGAATTGAAAGAAAGTTAAATTCCTTTATTAACATTAAAAAACTTATCCAAAAAGCAGGAAAAGACAATAATGAAATAATGGAAAAATTGACCAAACTAGAAGAGCAAGTAGAACTAATTAAACAAGATTTAAAAGAAAACACTACTAATAATGAATGGCAAAAAAGCCGAATTCAAAGAGAGAAAGAAAGAGTAGAGGAAAGATTAAACAAATATAGCCAACTAAAAGCCGGTAATTATTACCATTTTCACCTCAAAATGAAAGAGAAAAAAGGAGAAACTTATTATGTTTTGTTAGATTTCCAAGAGGTAAATAGGGGAAATTAGATTTGCAAGGGTGCGAAAACACAAAGCAAGCAACTATTCTGCTTCTGCTGGCAAATAATTGCAGGTTCAATCAACTAATTTTTCTTGCTCAATTATGAATTCTTTTTTTTCTTGGCAATCTCTTATCAATATTTTCCCTTTCTCTAATTCTTTTTTGCCAACAATGACAGCCAAACGAGGAGAATAGTAATTAATATTTTTGAAAATGTTTTTAACTCTTTTGACTTCTAAATTAGAAACAATTTTGTAATTTTTGCTTAATTTTTCTCGTCAAGCAAGAACAAGTGGATAAGCCGCTTTTTCTAAAATCAAAAAAAGAATATCGGGGGAGAGATTTAGATAATTACCGTGCTGTTTTTCTAAAAAAGACAAATAATTGACTAGACGGTCGACACCCAAAGCAAATCCGGCGGCTGGTGAATCAATCATTCCCAGTTGCTGAAAAAGTTGGTCATACCTGCCTCCTCCTAAAATAACTTGTTTATCATCAGTTAATGAGAGTTCAAAAACTATTCCAGTATAATAATCCAACCCACGGACCAAATGTTCATTATAAAAATGCTTAATTGCTAAACCGTTTAAAATTTTATTCAATTCTCCTAAATAAATTAAATCATTTTCTGTCAATACTTCTTTATACGAAGGCAAATTGTCTCAATGACAAACTTTACAATCTAAAATTCGCAAAGGGTTAAGTTGATAACGCTTTTGGCAATCAACACAAAGTTCTTTATTCGTTAAGTACTCTTTCAATATTGCTTTATATTTTTCTTTGGTTTCCGGTTTACCCAGGTAATTTCAGTGGAGAACAGCGGCTTTTTTTAAGTCAAATGATTTAACAATTTGCTTAATTAATCAAAATAATTCTCCATCGGCAATTATCCCCTCAACATTAATTAATTCTACTCCTAGTTGCCAAAATTCCCGGTAACGACCCTTTTGGGGTCGCTCATAGCGAAACATATTTCCTCAATAGTATAATCGCAAAGGATACCCAGGATTAACTAACTTATTTTGACAAACTAAACGTACAACGCTTGCTGTTCCCTCGGGACGCAAGGCTAGTTGTCGCCCTTTGCGGTCCGAAAAAATAAACATTTCCTTTTGGACAATATCGGTGGTTTCACCGACGGAAATGGTAAATAGTTCTCGATATTCATAAGTGGGTAAAATAACTGGTTGATAACCAGCCTTATTGAGAATATTTTTGGTGATTTGTTGAATTTGTTGGTAAAAAAATGCCTGAACTGGCAAAATATCCTGGGTACCGCGGGCTTTGGCGAATAATTTACTTGATTTTTCGGTCATTAATTAAAGTATTTGCTTTTGTTCACTTTTTCTTTGAAATCTTTGGCTAATTTTTTGATTTCTTCTAGATCAGTCTGAGTCATAGCATTTATGTAATATTTTTATCCTAAAACTATTATCATTCTCACTACGCGTGAGTTATATATGAACCACCATAAAGAAAACGAAACTATTAAGATTAAGCCTTAATCTACAAAATTGTAATCAATAAAATTAAAAATGATTTATATATGAACAAACTCAAACATTCTAAACGCTATCGGGAAATTTCCCAAAAAATCGAGCCAAATAAACGCTATTCCCTTAACGAAACTTTAAAATTTCTCCAAGAAAATAATCAAGAAAGGTCAAAGAATATTGAAATGGCTATTTCTTTACATTGAAGCGAAAAAAAAGTGCCACTCAGAAGCCAGTTAAGTTTACCTCACCCTATTAAGAGACAAGAAAAAATTATTATCATTGGCGAAGAATTGCCCCCAACTCTTCAAAATAAAGAAGAAATAGAATTAGTCAGTGCCGGAAAGGTTGCTCAATTGGTTAATAAGGAAAAAAAAATGATAATATTAACCCACACCTCTTACCAAGATAAAATTAAGCCCCTAGCTAAGATTTTGGGACCAAAAGGAATATTTCCGAATAGTAAAAATGGCACTTTAACGGATGATTTAGAAAAAGCAGTAAAAGAAATTCAGCAAGGGAGAATAGAAATCAAGACTGATAAGCAAGGCAATATTCATATTTTATTAGGAAAAGCCTCGTTTTCCTTAGAGCAACTAAAAAAGAATTACGAAATTGCTTATGAAACTATTAAATCTTTAAAACCAACTAATTGAAAGGGTGATTATATTCGCAATTCTACCCTTTCTACCACCATGGGTCCAGGAATTAGAGTTTTGACCTAATTTTGCCAAAATTTTCCCGTCTTTTCTAAATAGGAATAGGAGCGGTTCGCTAGCACGCACGATTACTTCCTGTATGGCATAATTTTCAAAGATTTACTGGGGTTTTACTAAAATTGTCAAAACTACCCATTTTTTATCCCTCGCAAGACTAAGTTAACACATTCTATTCGTTGGGGAAATTGGGGCAAATCACCAAAAACTGCCATTTGCGGACAGTTGTTTAATTGATATTTTTGTCCTTGGAGCATTTTTTCGATATTTCCGATTTCTGTTTTTACTAATTCAATTTTTTTATTTTCCATTCAATGGCAAAGTATATTAGCTGCCGCAACCGTCAGACAACAGGCTTGTTGCTCACTGGCAAAACGGGCCAACTTGACTAGATTATTTTTTTGTTGAATAAGTAAGTGAATGGTGTCCCCACAACTAGTATTTAAACTGAAAAAAGTCCGAAAAGGAACATTCAAGGAATTGCTAATTTCTTGTAATTTAGCCAAAGAAATTTCCTGAGTAGGGTTATTAAAATTTTCGAGAATCATTTGGCGTTTTTTTTCTCTATCAAAAGATAAGTTAGACATAAGAAATTTTTGTTGGTTTTTTATTAGGGTTTTATTTAGATTTTTTGGCTAGACTAACAGTTAGAAAAAGTAAGGGAATTGTCAAGCAGGATTAGTTATTTTTTCCTGGAATCGGGGATGCCGTAAGGTTCTTTTTGGAGGACTTTGGTTTCCAATTCTGCTTCTTCCACTTCTTCAGTTCTCGTGACATGCTGGTCAGTAATCCTGGCATTATAGCAAGAAAGAGAGTGATTATAAATACTTGTAATACCTGTCGCACCCCTATTTACTCAGGAGAACCTATTTATGGTTCGTAAGATAGCAGCGGTTTTCAGTATCGATAAGGAGATTATGGAGAAGCCAGCCATACCCCAATGATTCCATTCCAATGCTGCTTGCCATGGAGGAACTTATGGAGAATATAGCAGGCATTGAAATAACGCCGAAATTTGAACCCAATGCGCGGGTGATGCTATGATGAATGACAAAAGAAAATAGAGGTTAAAGAGAATGAAAAAAAGAGATAACTAGTGAAACAGGTTAAAGAGAGCATTTATTTTTTATATTGTATTAAAATAAATCAATAAACAAAAATAATGATAAAAATAAAAAAATTATATGTTGCGTCTATTATTTAGCCTGACCTCGCAATTTCTTTTTATTGCTCTTTTAGAGGATGAAAAATGCTTAAAAAGCCGCCAAAGAGTTAACTTTCGCCAACATTCCGAAAACTTTTTCCCTATTTTAAAGCAAGTTTTAGCAAAAACCAATCACTCTTTAAAGGAGATTGAGGAAGTTTATTTCACTAACTTGCCAGGCAGTCAAACTGGGCACCGAATTAGTTTAACTTTTGTGCTTACTTTGCAAGTACTAAATCCCCAAATTAAAGTTTACCATCTCAACAGTTTGCTTTTTCAAGCCGGAAAAAGTAGAGCCATTAGTTTAATCAGCATTGACCAAAAAAAAACTAAGTATCATTGTGCTGTTTATCAGGTCACTAAATGTTTGGTTGAGCCAAGTGAAATTGACCTAAATGTCAGCCAAAATAAAGAATTAATCCAAATCCAAAAGCAGTTTTCTGATTATCTTATTTATGAGGACTTCCACCAAATGCTCTGTCACGATTTGAACAACTTACCTCCCAAAAAGATAAGATTTTTGGCTAACTTTCGGCAATTGTTTCCCTATTTTCAATTGTTAGAAAACGAAAAATTAATCAATCAGCAACAAAATTAGCAAGGTTGGCAAAAAAATTAGGAAAAATTTAACCTAACATTGTTGATTAAAAACTAGCTAAAATAATGATGAAAAGAACAGAAAATAAAACTTATATGCTTGGTGGGCAAAAATTACTAGAAAGCGAAAATTTTAGGAAAGAAGAGAGAGGCATTGAACTAGCAGAGAAAGTTAGTTCGGCAAATTGGCATTATCTCCTGTTTAATTTTAATGGTGATAGTTAACCCCTGATTTGTGAATTTAGTTGAACATAAGGAAAAAACACGGCAAAAAATAGTGAGAAATATGACAAAACCCATCAAATCTTATTCCTACCAAGATTGCTGAAATTATTTTTTGCGTATTTTAGCAAAAAGCGCCCATTTAAACGAGAACCAAAAAAGAGATTTAATTAGCCTTTGCCAAACCACTCCTGCTGAATTTTGGTTGAATTTTCCTCATAAAACCTTAACTTCAACTGATTATCACCAAGTTTGTCAAAAAATCCGGCGGTACCAAGCAAAAAGCATCCCAGCGGCTTACTTAAACAAGCAAACTGATTTTTATAATTTACCCTTTAAAATCGAAAAAGGAGTATTTATTCCCCAAAAAGATACGGAAATCTTGCTAGAAAAAACTATTGAATTAATTAAGCGGCATTGAAAAAAACCAAAAAGATTAAAAATCTTGGATATTGGCACTGGCTGTGGCAATTTAGCGATTTGTTTAGCCAAAGTTAACCCCCAATGGAAAATAACGGCCACAGATATCAGCAAAAAAGCCTTAAAAATAGCACAAAAAAATGTGTTACTACACCAAGCAAAAAATGTCAAAATAGAAGAAGTGAAAGAAAAAGAAAGCAATTTATTTAATGAAAATTCGGAAGCAAAAAAAACAAAGAAATATAATGTAATTATTACCAATCCTCCTTATATTAATGAAAAAGAGCACCATGAACTTCCCTTTTCCACTAAGCAGCAGCCAAAAAGAGCCCTGGTTGCACAAAATGACGGCTATTGATTTTACGAAAAAATTATCCAGCAAGCTCAATCGCACTTAACTAAAAAGTTTCTCTTAATTATGGAAATCGGCTACCAACAAAAAGAAAAAATTCTAAAAATGTTAATAAGAGAATTTCCCCAAGCAAAGGCGGAAATTTTTCTTGATTGAGCCGGCAAAGAACGAGTGATTGCGGCTTACAGGGTTGTATAGCTCAGTTGGTTAGAGCGCTTGCCTGAAGAGCAAGAGGTCGGCAGTTCGACACTGCCTACAACCACCATAAAAAACAAAAAAAATCAAAAAGACGTGTATAAAATATAACATATGAACAAAGTAAATATGATAGGTACAAAAGAATTAATAGAAAGAACAGTTAAAAGCGTAAAAAAAAAAGATAAAGAATTAAGTAAGCAGTTGCCGGGGGCTTGAAAAAGTTTTGTGGCGTCAGGAAGGGTTCTCGTAAAAGTAATTGAAGAACATTTTTTTTTAGTCATTAAGGAAGCTTTAAACAATGGTGAAGAAATAGCAATTAAAAACTTTTTCACTATCAAGCGACAAACACCAAAAACAAAAGGTAGTAAACGCTGTGATAAACACGAAAGAGAAATAGAAAGTTTTCGTCGGGCAAATAAAGGGAAAGGCATTCAAGCTTACGCCAAATCGGAAATTTTTAAAAAATTGGTTACTGACACTAGAAATTGCAACAATTGTAAAATAAAAAAACAACAAATAGCAAAATCAGCCAAACCAACTACCCGAATAACTTTGAAAACGAGCAAAAATTTCTGAAAGGTTGTTAAGTCCCCCGTTAAAGGAAAAAGATAAAGGCAAATTCGCCTTTGCGAATGTAGTTCAACGGTAGAACTTTAGCCTTCCAAGCTAATAATGGGGGTTCGATTCCCCTCATTCGCTCCAGTTTTTTCACTTATTTTTGATAATGACAACAACATAAATGCTTAAGAATCTCAATTTAAAAGGAAATAGACATCGATGGTGTAATTGAAGGCATCAAAGCCGGAACCATAACTCCATGTGATAAAAAAAAAAAAATTCGCATGAATAATGATTTAACCAAGCAAGAAATTTTCCAAAAGCTAGGAGAAGGAATAAAAAAGTTAGTAGTCAAGAATAAAGATTTGTCTGACCAACCGTTTGCCATTTAAGGCTTTTATTTCGTTCATATTTTATTTGCCATATAGATAAAAATGAAATCAGCTAAAAAAATTCCGCTAAAAATAACTTATGAAAAAAAATGTTCATAATTACGAAATAATATGTTTGTTTTCTGACCGAGAAGAAGAAAAAAAAGAAAATTTGATAAAGAAAATTCAAGGTCTAGCTCCTCAGAAATTAGAAGTAAAAAATCTGGAAGCCGAAAAATTAGCTTGACCAGTCGAAGTAAAAAATTACTTACTTCTTCATTTAGCAACCGGTTCTGAAAAGGTTCAACAAACGGAAAAAATTCTTCAGCAGTCGCTTATTCAATACTTATTAATCAACTTAGATAGGGAAAAGAAATTAAAGATCAAAAAACACGATAGTTCAGATACTTCCCAGAAGGATATTTTCAGTGAAGAAGAAGAAAAGATGAAGCCGAAAAATTAGAATATTACACTACTCAAATGACTAATGTAAAATTTTCTATATTATTGCCAAAAAAAATAATTGAAGTTAGATTAAATGCCAATTAAAGTTCTTTGACTTAAATAAATTAGGAAAAATCAATGCCAAAACTAATAAAAATATAAGTATGGCAGAGAAAACAACAAAAAAAGATATCCAAGCAACAGAAAAAAAATTAATTTTAATTGATTTAGATGGCACCACTTTAGACAAAGACTTTCGAACTTTTAATCAGTTGAATCAAAAAGTACTTACTCATTTACATAAATTAGGTCACAAAGTTTGTATTGCTACTGGTCGTAATTACTTGTCCGCTTTACCTTACTACGAAAAATTAGGTTTAAATACTTTAATGGCAACTTACAACGGAGCCTATATTAATAATCCAAAAAAAGAAAAACTAAAAAAAGCACCGGAAACCCTCAATGTTAATCATATCCCAAATGGAGTGATTAGAGGAATTATGCAAGAAAAGATAGTTAAAGATAATTTGCTAAATTCGTTGGTGGACAGTATTGACCGAGAAATAATTTGCACGGAGAATAAAGATGTTTATTGACACGAAGTTTGATTTAACATGAATAAGTTTACTCACACTAACGATATCTTAAAAAGTTTGGGAGAGAAAAATGCTTTGCAATTAGTTTTGGAGTTCGCTAATAACGAAAAAAAACTTAACGCAATTATCTCTGCTTTACGCAGTAAATACCATTCTTCTGTTTTTTTTGACGTTGTTAATAAATTAAAAAAAGACCCGAAAAATTCCAAATCTCCTACCCTTGTCCCCGACCCCGAAAAAATTGTCATTCGCATTCGTTCAGCAATCGCGGATAAAGGCAGAGCGGCGGAAAGATTAGCCGTTCATTATAATATCCCTTTGAAAGACACTGTTGCTTTTGGTGATAGCGAAAATGATATCGAAATGATTCGTGATGTTGGCTGAGGAGTAGCCATGGCGAATGCCGAAACTTATTTGAAAACTTTGGGTCGAGATATCACCGAAAAAAAAAATTACGAAGGAGGAGTAGGGGATTACTTAATCAAATATTTTAACCTTTCTCCAAGCATTGGTAAAAAATAATCTTATATGAACCAAATTTATTCAGGAACAGTAATTAGCCAAAATAGTCTAAAGACAGTGAGCGTAGAATTAATTTTTCATCGTCGTCATCCTAAATACCAAAGAGTTCTTAAAATTAGAAAGAAGCTCCAAGTTCATAATGAAGATTTTTCCCTCAAAGTTGGTGATAAAGTAATCATTAAAAACAGCCGACCCTATTCTAAAACGAAAAGATTTTTAGTGGTCAAAAAAGGAGAAATAACTAAGGAAAGCCAACTAGACCAAGAAGAATAAAGTCAAAAAAGAATATGAAATAGGAAGTTATCTTAAGGAGCGGCCAAATCGATATTTTTGCTTATCTTGCTTGCGATAATGGCTTTTTTGAGTTCTCTTTTTCTGCTAATCAGAATTTTTTATTTATAAAAAGCATAAAAAATAGTATATGAACGAGCATGGATATTGTGATTATTGCTCCAAAGCCATTGAAGGAGGGAGTAGTTATTGTGAAGTAAAGATTATGGTAATAAGGGGTTTTGAGGAGTGAAAAAGAGAATGAAGAGGAAACTTCTGCTCCGTTGAATGTCGTGAAAGGTGGAGTAAAGAAACAGGTGAAGAATTTATGAAAAAATTTATTCAATGGTTTAAGGAACAAAATATCAAGCAAATAATTCTCACTCCGGACGGAAAATTAAAGATTGAATACCATGATAACAAGCCAAAAGAAGAATTGTCTTCTCAGCAAATAGATATGCAACCCCACAAACAACAGCTTAACAATGTTAAAGAATATTTACAAAAAACTAATAAAAAAAGTTTTGACGAACAAAAATTGAATGATTTAGAGAAAAAGTTAAATAACTTAACTAATGAATTTTTGTCTACTGAAAAACCCAAGGACTATAAAGTTTTATGGGTTAGTTTAGGAGGAATAGGATTATTAGTTATCGGGGGATTGCTTGGTTGATTATTGGCAAAAAAGCGCAGAAATTAATAAAGCGAAAGAATAGACTAGTTTTGTTTGTTTTCTTTATCCTTGTTTACTCACTAAAAGCAAATTAAACTAACTAAAAAAAAGCAAAGAAATAGCCAAAGCCGAAATTGTATTACGATTTTTTAAAAACCAACTTAATTGGCAAGTAGGTCAAAGCAAGCTTTTTTCGTAGACAATTCGCTATATATCGTTGATAAGAAAAATGAACTAATTGGGAGTTATTGACAAAAAAAATAAAATAATGAGTTAACCCTGGTTGGTGTTTAGCAAAATAAATTTTTAATCTACTTCCTTTGTAAGAAAAAGGATTTTTAACTGACATATCTTCAACTGCTTTGGCGATTTCTCTTTTCGTAAATTGCTTTTGGCTTTCTTTGAGGAGGAGAGCAAAAGCCTTCAATAAAGAATTAATTCCTTCTCCTTGTAATGCCGAAAGACAAATAACTGGTGCGTAACGTAAACTTTTTAATCTAGCCATTATTTGTTCGTGAATTAGTTTTTTTTGTTTAATTTCGATTAAATCAGCTTTATTGACAATGATAATTAAAGGTTTTTGGTATTCTTCGGCTAAATGGATAATTTGAAGAGTTTGCTTGGTTAAAGGTAAAGTAGCGTCAATAACTACCCAGACTAAATCACTTTGCCGAAAAGTTTTTTGGTTTTCGCGGTAGATTTGCCTTTCTTGAAGCAAGGATTTGCTAATTCCTGCCGTATCGGCAATATCAAAAGACCAATTTTGCCAATTTCAATAATCTTTCACTGGTTCTTGGGTGGTTCCTGCCACCGGACTGACTAGGGAGCGGTTTTTTTGGAGTAAATAATTTAGTAAGGTGGATTTTCCCGAATTCGGAGGGCCGAAAATAGTTAATTTTATTTTGTCGTCTTTCTCTATTTGTGGCAAGTCTGAACTAGGAATAAGACTAATAATCTTTTCCATCACTTCTTCTAAATTAGTAGTTTTTTGTAATGAAAAAGGATAAAGATGTGTCTGTCCTAATCGTTGGAAAAGGGAGAATTGATATTCTTTTTGTTCTATTAAATCTAATTTATTTAAAATTAGTATTTGAGGGAGGGGGAATTGCCGCAAATATTTATTCAATTTTTCCGTTGCTTGGCTGATTACTTGAGTTGCGTCGATAATTCAAAGGATTAAATCACTTTTCCTCATCAATTCCTCGGTTTGTTTTTGAATAGCTTTCTCGATTTCGGTGTGCGGACCGAGAAGAAAAGAAGGTGTATCAATGAGAAAGTAGCAATTATTTTTGAATTGAACAAGGTGTTCAGCATAATTAACCAGAGGACTGATTTTTATCGCAGGTGCTTGCTTGAAAGCATATTCTTTAACTAATTTTCGGTAAAAAGTAGTTTTGCCGGTTCCTTGGTAGCCCAGAAGAATAATTTTTTTTGTTTTTGACATGTGGGAAAAAGAATTAGAAATTGAGACACTTAACAACAAAAAATCGCAAATTAAGTATTGAGTTTTTGCCTTTAAATTGTTTTTAATGAGCACTGATTAAAAATAAGTATTGTGTAAATGCTCAGAAATGATTAGAAGAAAACTTTCTCGTTGATAGTGAAAAAATCTTTGGAGATAACCAAAACTTGCTTACTAAGCGAGCTGAACCGAGCCAACTAGAAAAACATTTAGCCAGTTTACAACAAAATCAAGAAGCGGTTAATTGTCAAGCTCAGATTATTCAAAAATAACTTTTTGCTGTTCTGCTTTTACTGCAAAATTAAGCAATCAAAACCAAGTCTCCCTTAATCATTTCCTTAAATTCTGGGCTCATCCATTCTCAATATACTAAATCTACTTTAAAAGGCAAATAAGACTTTTCTAAATCTTCTTTCAGACGACCAAAAGTGTTCCAAGATATTTCTTCATAATAGCAAAGGTCTAAATCGGAGTATTCTTTGGCTTGGTTTTTGACTCTTGAGCCATAAGCATAGAACTTGTAGGGATATTGGACTAAAATTTGCTGGATTATTTGTCAGTGCCTATTTTCCATTTGCAGCATACTTGGGTGCCTCCTTTTCTAATCTTGCTAAAAAATAGTCTAAATCTTTTAAAAATTCTTTGGTTATGGAGAAAAATAAACCATCCAAAATTTCCTTACGATAAGTATGAACCGTGATATTTCTTTTATCTAAATAAGAGAACCAAACTTCGGAACTGGTAATCAGTTTTAATTTAGCCGTTTCGCGAAAAGTATCTCGAACATTGTCAGTGTCTATTCCGTGAAAGGTTAATACTCTTTTCATTACTCGTCAAGCTAATTCATAGCAGAATTCAAAGGCTTTGATGGTTCCGGCTTTTTCATAATCATTGCGAGCATTTTTGATAATGTCGGCTAGAAAGTTACGGGCTTGAATTAGTGAAGTATAGTTAACTCCGCCATAGAGATATTGTTTTTCGGACATTTTATAGGAATTTTACTAAAAGTTTGCTTTTTTTATTGCAGTATCTTCACACATTACACCTCTCCTTCCTCAGCAGAGCATTTTTTACATAATCCATTATCACTGTCCACCTTTTTATAGCACATTCGCCTTTTGCTCATTCAGTTTCTAATAGTCCGCTTTTCTTTTGTTCCCTTTCGTATTCAGCAATTATTTTCTCTCTTTTGGCTTTGATTTTTGCGATTGATGATATAGTCATGAACTTGGTTAAGTAATTGTTGACTAGGAAGTTGTTTTAGCGGCTTTTTAGTTTTCATAATCTTCCTCCAATTCACAAATAATATGCAATAGCTTGCTGACCTTTTGCATTATTTCTTTGCTAACTTTCCCCAAGCGACTTTTTACTCTCTTTTTACTTACTGAACGGATTTGTTCAGGCAAAATGTAGGCTACTTTACCTGCTAGTTTTATTTTGATGTGCAAAACATTAGAAACTGGCTGCGAAGTAAGGGGAATAATAATTATGCGGGTGCTAGCCTCGTTTTGCTGGTCATTACTAATTACTAAACAAGGTCTGATTTTGTAAATTTCCGTACCCACAGTTCGGCCTAAGTCGATTCAATAGATTTCTTGCCTGCTAATTTTCTTCTTCGTCATCGATGCTGTCTCACAATTTTACTTCTTCTTGGTAGTTTTTATCTTTTTCTAAGGCTTGATAAGCTTTCTTTCAGTCTTCTTTGGTTAGTTTGCTTAAATCTGCTACTCCGTATTCGGTAATTATTTCATCGCTCTCCAATAATTTAAATAATTCTTCACTAACTAATTTCTTTTCCCTGATTCGATATTTTAATTCTTGCAATAGTTCCTTGTTATCTACTTTTCTTAATTCAGTCATATAATTATTTATATTTTACCTTTCGACTGTTATAATTAACCTAATTGAATGATAACTATAGGTAAATAAACAATTAATCTCTTTATAGTTAACAAAAGAGGTCATTGTGATAAGCATTTAGAGCATGGAATTGACCGAGATTCAATTATTTAACTAGTAAAACTGCTAAATAATCGCTATTTTCCCCGAAAACAAGCAGCCCGAAAAAAAGAACTATTTCAAAACTTATCCGGAATTACACGGAAAAAGACATAAACTAGTTTGGTGATGATGAAAAGAAGTAGACACTTATCTTTGAGTGCGAACTTGCCACCCTGATTAGTAAAATTAGAGTATATAAAATCATGAAAAAAAACCAAGGGCAAGAAATCATTGAAATTCCTATTAACGCTGAGGAAGAGAAAGTTTTTCAGCGAGTAGAAAGCGATGAATACTTGGGCAGTTTGGTTGAGGTGGGTTTGAATGTCATTCATAGTTAAATTTTAATTATTTTCAATAATTTTTTAATTCTTGGTATTCGGAGGAAGTTTCAATTAGTTTTAAAATCTCGGCTTGAACTTTATCGTGTTCCTTGCCGTGTCCGCCGTTGATTTCTTGGGTGGCGGGTTGAGTATCAGTTAAAACGACATGCCCTAACTCGTGAGCTAGCACTCTAATCAAGTTATCTAAACCAAACAATTCTTTAAATTCAGTAGGATTAATAAAGTAAACTCGTAATCCTAATTGCTGGTATAAAAATAAGCGATTAAGGTAAATAGTGCGGTTATAAATTGCTAGCTCTCCCATTTGGCAAAAAGGCTCGCGGTCATGTCAACCACACTGGATTTTTACTTGCTTTTTATCATCTAATCAAGGTTTTTCAAGCATAAAACCGCCAAAACGCACCACGGGTTCGGATTGAAAATAACCAAAAGGGATACCTAACTGCTGACGGAAACGATAATAGTAAGTATTAATTAAGTAATCAAAAAATCTATCCCAAGTTTCTAACTTTCCAATATCTCGTAAGTTCATTTTCGCTCTTTAACCTTACCTTGTTTGTCAAAATTAACCACTTGTCCGCAAGCTAATAACTGTTTTTTGGGATTAGGGTTAATGTTCTTTATTTGCTTTTTTTCCATATAAGTTATTTTTGCTTATTTTGGGCTGTTTTGGGGATTTTTTAGGCTTTTTCTTTCGTTTCTTGCTAATATTCCGTCAGCGTCTATTCTTTAACCGAGCAGGAGAAAAGTTTTTAATATGAGCTAACAATTTTTTCTTGGTTTCCTTACGGTTTTTTTCTTGCTGATGCTGTTTTTTTGCCGTAGAATTTTCAATAAATTATCCAGGCAATGAGAAACACCAACAAAAGCGGGAAAAATAAGAGGGTTAGGAGGAATTTATCGTTTGACATTTAATTAGTTTAAGCCTCGGGGTCGTTCCATCACTCCTTAAATTTCTCATATTCAGCCGAATTAACTATCATTTGTTTAATTTCTTTCGTAAATTGTGCGTGTTCTTTCACTAATTCCGGAGCCAGGAATTCACCATTAGCATCTTTTTTACCACTACTTTCACAACTGCTTTTACCATATTTAACAAATTGAATGTAATGGGCTAATTCGTGGCTAATAGTTTCAGTTAAAGCACTAAAATCAATCATTAAATAGCGTTCAGGAGTGGCAAAATAACGCTTATGACCTAATTTGTTAAGTAAATATAACTGATTAAGTTTAATAATCACTAATTTATTTTGTTCGTCATAGCCACAATTTCCCATCTCGCCTTGGTTTTCGCCATCAGAGAGAGATTTTTGGTAAAAGCCGCCAAAAATTAAAGATAATAACATTACCATATTTGTGTTAAATGAAAAGACAGCCAGTTTGCAAAAACTGTTTTGTTAATCTTTCTATAAAAGTGTATGAAAAAAGAGTCAAATGTAAAACTCCTCGTTGGTCTGGGTAATCCCGGAATAGAATACCAAAAGACCCGTCATAATTTAGGTTTTCAAGTAATTGCTCATTTAGCCAATAAATTAAATCTTCCCTGGCAAAAAGAAAAATTTAAAGGATTGTATACCACTAGCATCTATTTAAAACAAAAAATTATGCTTTTAAAGCCTTTAACTTATATGAATAATTCTGGTGAGTGTATTCGGGATTTTGTGAACTACTGGCAAATACCGTTAGCAAATATTTTGGTCATTTACGATGACTTGTCTCTCCCTTTGGGAACTTTTCGCTACCGGCAACAAGGTTCTAGCGGAGGACACAATGGGGTAAAAAATATTATTGAATGTTTAGGAACGCAAAATTTTAAAAGATTAAAAATTGGAATTGGTCCTAAGCGGGAAACGCTCGGGAATGATAATTATCAGTTTTTTAGGCAAAAAGGTTCGATAAAAGATTGGGTTTGCCAAAAATTTACCCAAGAAGAAGTGAAAGAAATTGAAAAAATCCTTCCTGATTTAGTTGACAAATTATTAGAATGGTTAGGAAATAATAGTTTATAAAAAACCCGTAATGATAGATTTTCCCGAACCTGTGAATAATATTCCGAGTCTCGATCCGGGAAATGAGCGTTCCGTAATTTTTACCACTTCTGACTTTTGGCTGGTTTTTTCCTCAAGCGGGCATGTATTTTCTTTCATCTCTATTTTGCTCTAGATATTTTGCTCTAGACAAAAATGAATGGTGGAAAAAAAGTTCTGATTGTTAAAAATAATTTATATGTTTCAAAATGAGTCTCGTTTGTTGGTAGCTGATAATTCTGGGGCTAAGGAGTTGCTAATTATTCGTTGTTTAGGTGGTTCTAATCGCAAATTTAGCCACATAGGAGACCGAGTAATTGCTACCGTGAAAAAAGTTGACCCTCACGCTTCCAATATTAAAAAAGGGCAGATAGTCACGGCTTTAATCATTACTAGCAAAAAAGGATTTCACCGCACTAATGGCAACTTTGTTGGTTTTAGTAAAAATTATGCTGTCTTGATAAAAAAAGAAGACCAACAATTAATTGGCACGCGAATTTTAGTGCCAATTTTGCGTGAGTTTGAAGGATGAGGTTATAAAAAACTTCTTTCTTTGACCAAGGAAGTAATTTAATATGGCGAAGTTAAGATTAAAATCAGGTGATCTAGTAAAAGTAATTACTGGTAAATTCCGTGGTCTGGTAGACAATATTCATCATCTAGAACCAAAAAAAGAACAAGTTTACTTAACCAAAGCAGCGAGGAAAACTTACAATAAATCTCCTGACGTCAAAAAAAAAAGTCGATTAAAAGATGTTTTGGTTCCTCTCCATATTTCTAACGTGATGGCTTGTAAAGAGGAATTATCACCAAAGAAAAGCAGTTTAGGGCAAAAAAAGAAAAAAGTTAAGTAAACAAAAGTTAATACGAAAAAGTGTAAACTTTGGCAACATTAACAAAAGCAGAAAATTAACTTTTCTTTATTTTCAGGCAATCAGTCAGCAAAACTTTAATCGGATTCAAGCGACCAAGAAAATCAACATTAATGGTAATTAGATTTTTTTTTGGTTCAATCTCAGTAATTTCTCCTTGGCAGTCGGCATAAATTCCGTGAATAACTTTTATCAAGTCTCCGCGTTTAAAATTGTTGTCTTCGGCTTTTTCTTGGTCAATTTCTCCTTTTTCGGCTTTTTGAAGTAAAGTTAAAAAATCAGCAGTTTTTTGGGGAGACAAGGGAATAGGTAAAGTTTTTTCGCTTCTAGTGTGGTTGAGAAAAACAATTACCCCAGGAATGTTGTAAATTAATTGAACTAATGATTCATCTAAAGAACAGTAACAAAAAGTATATCCTGAAATCAAACTTTTTCCTTTTGCATTCTTGGGAAGAAAACGTAAATCAGCAACTTTTTCTTGGGAGTTGGTTTTTTCTAACTCGTCTTGAATTTTGGTGATTACTTCTTTTTCTTTACCACCGCGTACTAATAATATGTATCAAAAATAATTTAAATTCATTATAAAACGAAATAATAGGCATTATCTAGAATCGTTTATACCATGGCTACTTTTTTATTTCGCCTATGCCTATAATTAATTTTTAGTGTTGTTTAATCGGAAGGGTACAAAAAAACCGGCGAACACAAAGAGGGATTAGGTTGAACTGCAACCTTTTTAGACTTTTTAAAAAATCATTATATAGTTGATTAGTTAATGAAAATTAATAAATTACAATTAGTTATATAAAAATAGAAATATGACAGATGCGCAAAACTGATTAAACAGTGCCATTCCTATTAATCACAGGAGAAACATTCAAGAATTACATATTTTTCGTGATGGTGTACAAAACAATGAGGACCACGAAATAGTTTATCAACATGCTGAGAATAAATATTATCTTTCTTTGGAGGATAGTTTGACGGGAAGTTTAGAATTGTCCACTTTCCCTTATTTAGAAAAATTAACTATCGAAGAGCAATGTATTACTCATTTAAATTTAACTAATTGCGAACAACTCGAAACTATTCAATTAACCAAAAATTATTTAAGAGACATTATTTGACCTACACAAGCACCACGACTGAGAGATGTTGATTTAAATGATAATAATCTTTCGGCTCGTGATTTGTCTTGCTTTGCTAATTTTCCTAGCATAAAAAATTTTGTATTTAGGAACAGATAATGAAGACAGAATAAATTGTAATATTTATAATCGTTGGAATGGCTCTTTGTCTCATCTCAATCATTTGAGGGATTTAGAAAAATTAGACATTAATGCTACTGATATCAATGGAGGCTTGCTTTATTTGCCCACCGATTACTTATATCATTTTACTTTTGGCAATTGTGGTCGAACCAATGCTGGAGTGGATAGTTTCAAAATATTTTTAGAAAGGGACGTTGAATTAAGAGAGGGAGAAACTATGGAAGATTGAGCTAGGATGGGAATTGAGGCAACTGATGAAAATGATAACTATTTGGATGAGGATGCGCACAAAATAGAAATTATTGAAAGATGACAGCAAAGAGTAGGGCGGGAATTACAGCAACAGCTTCAACAAACTCAAATTCAAGTTTCTCCAAGAGGTCAATAAACAGGAAAGAGGTAAATACTGGTCTTATCTCCGCAATACTTTTTTGTATCATGCCCTTTCTAATAGTTTATAAATGACTTTTTAGGGAAACGAAGGACGTTTTTCTTTCAAATAGTAACGAGAACAAACGAATAATCAAGCCTATATCTTTTTTTATATGGGTCAGCAATTCCCTTTCAATTTTTCCTTATTGCTCAATCTTTTTATAACATTTTAGCATCACCTTTTTTTTGCTTAACTTTTTTCAGCATTTTTTACTACTCTGAGACTATCCGGCAAAAGAAAAATGGTGATAATTGGATACACTGATAATTTCTTAAAGTATGTAGCGAACTTTATTAAGAAGTTTTTCAATTTGTTTTTCTTCGGAAAAACGCACTTTTATTTCTTTTTTTTGCCATTGCATTCGCATTTACTTTGTTTTTTATTACAGTTACCGCAAACTACTCTTCTTTGTCCCATATAAGATTTTTAGTTGAAGTTGCAAAAATCAATCCTGCTATCAATTTGGTTCCTGAGTTAATGGTGGAGATGAGGGGATTGAACCCCTGTCCTTAAATAGTGAATAATTAGGTCTACAGCTTATTCAGTTAAAGTTTTTTTGGCTTAATATTAACTGACAAATACTAGTTAGCCAAATAGTTCATTTTCAATAATCAACCAAGGAGTAAATGAACAAACTCGCTTGACCAATTCCCTGTCATTACGAATTACTTGTAGGGAGTAAGCAATAAGAACTAGTTAAGAATTTAAATTCTTGCGTAGTTAGTTCTGTAGTTGTTATTCAACAAACTTGCAGGAATATTTGGACTTTCGTCAATTTCATTAGTATCTTGATTTTTTTCAAGTTTTTGCTGCCCTAATTATCGGCTGAATTAAGTCAAAACTAACATCCCCATTTACGAAGTCATTGCTCATTCCCATCAGCGGGAAACATTATCAATACTTCGTATTATTATTTTTAAGAGTTTTGTAATTTATTTTTTCTTTTAATCAGATTAAAAAATAGGACAATAAAGAAAAACCTACATAAGCGACGAGAACCACACTAATTATTCAAAAAAGACGAGAGGTTAGATTTTGAGAATAATTAACATCTTTTTCGTGTACTTGTTGACCCATAATGCGGTAAAAGAAAGGATAAGGATAATTTCGCGGAAAGTCGTAGGATAATTTGCCGGGGTGAACTCAGCGATTGCTGGCTTTTTCGCGCAAAATAACATAAAAAAAAATAAATGCTTGGATTTACTAAAATTCCAATAGTGGTTAATTTGAAATTTTTTTTTAATCGATCGACTTCACTAAATTTGTAAAAGTAATAAAACAATAATAAGGGAATAAAAATATGCGAAATAGCCGTATTAAATCAGTAGTAGGTTTGGGTTTTTATTTCTCAGGAATTGAAAAGATTAATTGTTCGGTTCGGGTTATCAGCGTCCGGCACGTAAATTCATTCTATTTTCTTCTTAGAGAGATAATAAATTGCAAAGTTGCCAATAAAGGCAAAAAGCATTATCAGGTTAGCAATTAAAATAGTCAAATCAAAAATTTGCTCAAAATAACTGCTTTTTTGTCCTTTTATTAATTTATAAATAACTCAAATTATCGTTAATCAACCTACTCAAACACACCACCAACTAGAAATTCAAAGCCAATATCCAAGATTACTAGCTCGGGCAAAAGAATACTCAGAGCGACGAAACAAGTCCAAATGAGCAGCCATAAAAATACATAAAGCATGAGTTAGACCGATAGTTAAAAAAAGAAATACATTTTTTTTTTTTTCATATTTTTGTGCTTGGGTTTAACTATGATTAATCAAAAGAGTTAAGTCAGGCTCAATTAGTCTGCGAAAAGCAGGGCTCATGTTTTTTCAATTAACTAATTCCACACAAAAAGGTAAATCAGATTCTTTAAATTCCTCTTCGATTTGGAAAACAATTGCGTCGGGTATCTCCTCTTGGTAGCAAAGATCTAAATCAGATAAACGGCGAGCATTACCCTTTGCCCGGGAACCATAAGCGTAAAAGCGATAAGGTCTTTTGCTAAGTATTTGTTGGACTATTTTTTGGTGTCTAGCTTCTAATTGAATCATATGTAGTTTAGGGGATTTCGTAATATGTCTCAGGTATTTCTTTGGGAGTAGCATAAACTAACTGTGCCCGGAGAAGTAATACTTTCCTAATGGCATGCTAGCTAATTCATAGCACACTTCAAAAGCTTGGATGACCCCAGCTCTTTCGTAATCATTTTGTGCATTTTGGAGAATTTCTGCTAAAAAATTACGAGTAGAGATAAGCGGTCTGATATTGATTTTTCTGTCTTGTTTATTGTTTTTTTCCGTCATTTACTTAGAATCTTTTTTGACATTTCATTTAATTTTAGCCATACCCAATCAGCAAAAATTTGTGCTGATATTAAGTTTAAAAGACAAGATAATTCACTACTGGATTCGCTGGTGCTTTGGTCTAGTTGTTAGAGAGAAGTTCTGAATTTAAAACTCTACTTCTCTTTTTCTAACTTCGCTAATTCTTCCCGGAGAGCGTCAACTCTGTGTTGATAACTCGTTCACTTGCGGAAACGGAAAAGAGCCCAAAAGATTCAAGTTGTAACTCAAGCAAAAACAAAAACAAACATTCCTCATTTAATATAGTCCAAGCGTATTTGGGCATCATAAGGTAATTTCTCTTTAAGAACTCCATTAGTATCTAAATGATCCTTAGTGCCTAGTTTAGCAATGATTTTCGGCATTAACCATAAAATGGCAACAGCAATAGCTAATGCTATCACCAGCGTAAGAAGATTAACAAAAAACCATTTTAAACTGCGGTCTCTTTCTCTTTCGGCTTTGGCTATTTCTTTTTCAATTTCTAATTTTCTTAGTTTTGTATTCGTGTCCATAATTTTATTTCCCTCTGCTTATTTCTCCGTCTCGGTCTCAGTTGTTTCTGCTTCTTCTTCACTGCCTTCTTTTTTGCCACCTCATCAACCCATGAAGTAACCTAGACCACCAATCAAGAGTAAGGCAGCGATCGGAGCCCAAAATATGGCATAACCGCCTTTTTTGTACCATTCCTTATCAGGCTGGGCTTGTGCTTCACCTTTGTCACCACCTTTGTCACCACCTTTGTCACCACCTTTGTCACCACCTTTGTCACCTTCTTCCTCTTTTCCTGGCTTTTCATCACTTGGAGGAGGAGTTTTCGTTTCTTGCAAAGTAGCATTGTGAGCAGTCAGTTGCTGATAGAAAATTTTTTGTTCATCGGTAGCAAGGTCGTGGTCAATCAAGTCCTTGTAAAGGTCAATTACTTTTTCTAATTTATCTTTTTCTTTCGCCGTAATTTTTTTCAGTTCTTCGGCGTTAGTTATTCCTTCCTTAGCAATTTGGTGATTGCGAACTTCGGCGTGTAATTTTTTCGGATCAGTGTCCCAAACTTTCTTTGGGTCCTTATCTTTCAGAAATTCCTCGTCCATTCCGTCTTTTAAACTTTTAATTGTTTCCTCTTTATAACTCATTCATTTTTCAATAATCTTATATTCGGAACTGTCGCTAGTAGACAAGCCCATAATTTCCCCTCTGCCACGGGCAAGACTTTTAACAAAATCATTCAAGACTTTATCACCTGTTTTACCATCTCCGCCGGTAATGTCAGAAAAATAATCTATGTCTTGCTGACAAGTTTTGGCTTCATTAATTCAATTTAAAACGGTCTCTCTTTTAAAATCTTTCCGGTTTTCAGTACTCTCCTTGATAAACTGAATTAAGCGATATCTTAAAATGTAACCAAGAAAATCATCTTTCAGGTCAGTTAAGTTTTTGCTTTTTTCAATAATTCAGTCCGCCAGAGTTCCTGAATAATTAGGACCTCCTTGATCAGTGCCTTTTTTCCAAGTTTCGAAATCTGTGTCAGTGCGTAAATCAGTTTTGTAAGTAATTAAGTCGTGAAATTTGTTTCCTTCCCCGTAACCGGCTCTTTGCCAGATACTCAAATGTGTTGAGCGATATTTGCTCCCCAAAATTTCTTTGAGGGTGGCTTCAAGGTTCTTCGCAGTGATGTCAGAATCGGCAATCATTTTACGAGCTTTGGCGTCAAATTCACTTAAGACAATTTCTTTATCCAGTTCATCCAAATTTTTTAACATTTCCTTAGCAGCGTTAGCGTTGGCTTTGTCTTTCAATCAAGTTTCAAATTGTTTTTCCTCTCGGGTTATTTTATGTAGACTATAAAGTTCTGCCAATCTACTTTTTTGTTTGATAGTTTTTTGCTTAATTCCGGGTTCAGTAGTGCTTTCGTTATCATAAATTTTGTAGCCTTCTCGGATTTTAGTCAAGGCTTTTTTCGTTTCATCATCGTCGTTTTTAAAGTAAGAATCACTTTGAGCCGGAATAATTATATTAAAGTTTTTGTAGTTATCACTATCTTCTTTCAATTTATCTTTATTTTGGCTTTCATCTTTTAAACGTTCCCTTACTACTTCATTTAATTTTCCAATAAGTTTAGCATAATTCTCGTAATGTTCCCAATGTCTTTTTCTCTTGGCACTCACATCTCTGATTAGTCCCTCGGAACTTTTAGTAGCCTGAATTCGTAAATTTTTTTCGTTATCACCAGTTATATTTCTAATTTCTTTTTGTAGTTCAAGAATTTTTCTTTCACATAAAGCTTGTTCTGCTAAGGCAGTTGCTCTATTGCCTTCAAAATAATCAACTTGAAGTTTGGCTAATTCATCTTTTTTGTCTTGAAGTTTTTTTCTTTTTTCTTCGTCGTCTATATAAGTAGTTGTTAAATCTCCTGCTTGGAAGCCACTTAATCTTGACGTTGAAAAATATGTGGTTCTATTTTTACCGACAAAACCAGGTACTGTTAGTATGTTTTCTTCACAATTGTTAAACGCTGCGACGATATTTGGTGTAAAAATGTCATCGATAACATCAATCAATCCAAAGACACCAGGTTCGATCTTGTCAAATCGGTATGGTAAATCATTAGGATCTACATCAAAATAATTCCAACCACTAAAATCAGTCTCTCCTGGAAGTCCATGAGCAACGTGATCTTCAAACTTGCGACTACTTTCTTTGCCATCTTTAGGAGTTCAATAAGCGAGATGAAGGCTTTTGAATACATTATTTTTTCTAATTGTTTCGGGAGTTAAAAGAAATTTCCCAGGTTGAATTAGTAAATTACTGCCACGAGTAGACTTGGGAATAAGAGACTTGAGATAAAAAATAAGATCTGCTGTATAATAATCTTCGTAAGCAATTTTTCTAGGAGTTTGTCCAGGAACATTCATTACACCGCTTAAAATAAAAAGAAAAGGAAGTTTTACATCATTATTGCTTTGAGGTGTAAACAAATATTCTTCAATTCGAGCTTGATTAGTTTGCTTGTTATCGTTAATAATTTTTTGAACATCCTTGTAGAGAGAAGATGAAGAATATGGACCTTGATATACTAAAGGTGTTAGCAAAACTGAATATCCTTTAAGATCATCTTTGGTTGCAATAACAAAACTGTTGGACACATATGTGACATGAAATTTTCATCAACGTTTGAATCATTCATAAGAATGGGTCTTTGGTTCTTTTATTCTTGAGTCTGAATGCACGTCCTTGATTTCTCATTCAGGATCTATTTTCTTATTATCATCATCAACTTTGTGAAGGATGTCTGCTCGTGAAGGAGCATCACTTCCTAGCATGCTAGTAATTAATTGTACCTTTTCATCATCGCTAAATGATTTGCTTCCTTGCCCGTCATCTGGAAAAGGACAATCTAAACGAGCAAGATAAACATTTATTTGCCTAAGAAAATTATTTAATTGTCCATACGACACTCTTAACTCCTTTCCGCCATGATAAACTAAATAAATTTCATCTGGTTTGCCAGTACCACTTGTTTGTCTTCAATAATTAAATGATTTGAGTTTAGCTTGATTTGCTTTATTATTTTCCTCAATTTCACTTATTTCTTTCTCCAAAGCACTTATTTCTTTCTCCAATTGTTCTTTTTCTCTTACAATTTTCTCGTATTCTTTTTTACTTAATGAATCGCCAATTTCCGTGATTTTGTCGGTTAATCTTTGAATTTCTCTTTGGTTAGATTCTATTTTTCTTTTTTGTTCTTCAGTTAAATCTTTTTCTTCGTAATTCATATATATTATTTTATTCTCCTTTCAAAGTAATTTTGTTTTATCTTCATCATAAATGTTTTTTTACAGATTATTTTCATATGTATATTTTTATATATGTTATACACGTTTTTTTTCCTTATTAAACCTTATTAAATTTACTCTCTCTCTCTCTCTCTCTTGTTATTTTTTTTGCTTTCGCAGTTCTCTTTTTTTGTTTACCCGAAAGCCAAATTCAGTTTAATCTTTACCTAATTCTTTCAAACTTTTTCATACTTATTTTTTTAATGAAATTTTTAACTAAAACTCCTCAATTTTTGCCAAAATTTTTTCTCAATCTAATTCTTTGGTTTTAATCCGGCGAACTAATTCTAAAAGTAATTGTTCGTTAGCCAGAGACTTAATTAATTCCAAGCCATCAAGGATTTTTCTTTCCACTTCTTTTAGAGTTTTTGGGCTAAGGGTCCCCAAATGTTTTATTATTCTTTTATTATTCTTTTTTTATCAATATTTTTGACTTGGTCGCACATAATTTTCCCTTTTTCGTTATTGAAATTGGAATAAACTTCTCAACTCTCATAAAAAGGTTTGAGAGTATGAGTGAGAGGAACCACCGTAATTCGACTACTCTTTTGATTTTGGATGTTGTTAGAAATTACCACGGCAGGGTGCGGGTCTTTGATTTCAGTATTTATGACTTTTTTCTGGAATTTGCCCTTTTTGAGTGGGTCAAAACGAATTAAGTAAACTTCACCACGCTTGACTTCTATTTTTTTGGCTGTTTTTGCTTTAATTACTACCATTATTTATTTGGGCTTCGTCCTGCTCTTGAATTTCGTCTCACTCAGCAATTTCTTTTTTTCTAGTTTCGTCTTTTTCTGCCAATTCTCAATCTTTGGCTAATTTTGCCTGTTTGGCTTGGGTAATTTTTTCGTAGTTGTTGACTAAGTGGCGCAGGCTATTAATAATGAGGAATTTTTTCACTTCTTTGATTTCGTTTTTAATTTCTCTTAATTCTTGAAAAACTCGGTTTTCCGTAGCCAATTGTTCGTAGTTGCTGGCTTGGGCGTTTAATCTTTTGTGATCGTTCATTTTATTTGCCTATTATTGTTAATTTTAATTCTTGTTTATTGAGTTCTGGGAATTCTTTTGCTTGAAATTTACCTCTTTTTACCTGCTTTTCAAAAATCTTTGTTCACTTTATAAATGATACGCGATTAGTCAGTTAGCACTTTTCATTGGTGAAGAATTTTTACTCCTCTACCGTGGTTATTTTAACTTGTTTTAGTTTACTTTGCGCCACCTTGGGAATAGTAAGTTTTAAAATTCCGCTACGGTAATTACCTTCAATCCTATCTTTGTCAATGGGAGTGTTAAAATGATAATCCCGGTTGAAGGAGCCATAAGCAAATTCGGTATAAAATTGGTGCGAGTTTTCTTTGCGTTTTTCTTCTTTTCTTTCTCCGTGAATATGGAGATATTTTTCTCCGGCTTCTACTTTAATATTATCTCGACCCACTCCGGGCAGTTCAACCTGTAAATAATAATTATTTTCGTCTTCGGCTAAAGAACTAGGAATTGCATTTCAATTACTTTCCCCCATTGGAGCGAAAAAATCACTCAAAAATTGCCTTTCTATTTTTTCTAAATCCCTAAACGGACTTCTTTGTTTAATAATTCGATTGTTCATATTTTTATATAATATAATTTTACAAAGTTTTTAACTTGCCCCAAGACAACGAGGACAGTAAAATTTGATGAGAGCCTCGGCAAAATATTGACCCAGTTTTTTTGACAACCGTAGCTTTTTCCATGTAAGCTCTTCAATTTTTAGTTTTTAGGGACCAAAAGACCCTTTTCTCCTTCTTTCTCAACTAGCAAAGTTTTATTACAATCTTTGCCTCCACATACCACCCAGGCTTGATTATGTTTAATATTAATCTTTTGCTTTTCACGTTGATGAAGAGATAATTCACCAAATCTCAATATATCTTCTTCTAAATGTTTAAAGTTTATACCTTCTTTAATTTCTAATTCTGTCATAATATTAATTTTTAGTATCTTTATTTATTTTTTATTTTTCTTTTTGCTCGTGAAGAGGAGAGTAATGATTGCCATTAATCCCAAAATAATTAGCCCTACGGGCAACATAACTTGCCAAGAAAAACCAGGTTTATTTGTATTATTTGGTTGGGGTTCTTCGTATTTTTCGGCGGAATAAGGAGGAAGATTTAATAATTTTACGTTCACCCTTTCATCTAATTTACGAGTAATTTTTTCTTTACTTAAAACCACTACTTTTATTTCGGCAGTCAAACCCACCGATTGGGCTTCTATTAAATGTCCACCAAAAGCTTTTTCCAGTTCGTTGTCAATAAAAGTAGCGTGTAAATGCACGGCTGGTTGAGTAGGGTCAGCGTGGTCCCAAGCCAAGCATCCGTCAGCATTTAGTAATTCTAATGGTCCCTCCGCTTTTTTTTCAATGTAGCCAGTTTCAAAACCGACCGAAAAAGCGTATTTAACTTGTTTGAATCCGCCACCAATGGCAGTAATTCAAGCATAACCAATCTGCGTGTCCCGCGCAAATTTTTCTAAACTAGCCATTAATGGTTCCCCGGGCTCTATCCGAATAATGTAATGATTTTCAAATTTTTTAACTTGCATAATGATTTGTTTTTAAGTAATTAGTGAATTTTTTTTCTTACGCTTGTCTCGTGGTAAAATGTTCGTTTTTGTATAAACTGTATTGCTAACTTAACAAATAAATAACAAAATAATAAACACTATAAAAAATGAGAAAGCAAAAAAAATCAATCACCTTCTACCTAAAAATATAAATATGAATTGAAAGATAAAAAAAATTGATATGGAAATAAATCAAGATAATAAAGTGAAAGGAATAAAAATATAAATATATGAACAAACAAGAATTCGGAAATGCTTTTTTAAGAGAAATAAACTCAAGCAGTGATGCAACACTTAGAGAATTGGTTAATAGTAATATTACATGGGGTGCTGGTCCTGGTGGGGCTGGTCCTGGTGGGAATAATTATACTAGTGGTAATGCTATAATTGATGGTTGATATCATCACTGTATAGACAATACGGCAGGGACAGAAGCGGGTGGAATTGCCGCACTTGCTTTGGAAGCAACAGGAGCAGCTGCTACGGCAGGAAATGCCATGCTAGGGGTTACTATAGGCGGAAGAGATGTTGAGAATAACGACGTTGATGATTGACAAAACGCAGGCGATAATGCCGTGGTCAATGATCAATATAATTCGGCCGAAGCGGGAAAAGTTTGTGCCAAACTGGCTTTACGTGGCTGACATTTTGTAAATTTTGTCAGTAATAATAATACGCTCGAAGTTAGTGCTAATGGCGAATACGCTGGCGGAAGTGTTGCTGGTGCTCCGGCTACTATCGCTGGCACACGAGCAATTCACGCGAGAAATAATTACGAGCATTGAGAAACTCGTTTAAAAGCGGCATTAAAAGCTATTCCTGCCGCTAATAAGATAAGGACTGACCTCACCTCAGAACAAGCCCGAGATTGGCTGAATAAATTACATGAGTTAAAAGGAAACGTATTAGTAAGTGCTGCTAACGGTGGTAGTAATGCACCAGCGATAAGCCATACTGCACCAGGGGGCGTTCCTCACGCTAACAACGACGATTTAAGAAATGCCGGAGTTGGTCAAGGAATAAGTATTGACCAGTGAGTTGTAAGAATAGCACGAATTCACAACTCAGGTTGAAATGCGGAGGATATCACTTTCGATGGCGGTGGTGGTAATAACCAACGTGCTATGCAGGTTGCAGCAAACGTTGCTCCAAATAATACAGCATTAAGGGGTTCTTATTGTATTACTGTTTGTAATAATACTGGTGCTGGGGCAGTTGCTAATGCTAACTTAGTAACTCCAATTGCTAATAATAAATATAATCTTGTCCAAACTACAGTTTATACTATCCTTCAAACTGGTGTTGGTGGTGGAGCAGCTATCAGTGCTGGTTCTTTAAGAACGCAAGAAATTGGTGCGGCAGGTGGTGTTACGGCTGCTCACATTAAAAAAGCCAAAGAATTCGACAGTGCTTTAGCTAAACTAAGAAAAGCTAGTGGTGCTGGCACTAAAACTAACACAGCGATAAATTCTAGCACTGGAGCTGTTGTTAATGCTGTTGAAAATTGACGACTTGGCGGTACTTACACCACTCAAGAAGCTTTGCGAGTGCTAGCCCGAATTTTCGCTAACGGCTGAGAAATGGACGACATTAGCCTTTCGAGTAATAATGAGATTGAAGTCACAACGAGCAAATCTCCCGACGGCACTCAATTAGTTGGTTCCCAAGCCCTTGTTGACCCGGCTAACCACAAAGTCCGATTAGCCATCAAGCGAGCTAAAACCCACGATGATTTAGGGAATACTTGGAAAACTACTGGCAACTTACCAATAACTAGTGGCTTGCTTGATTCCATTTTTGACAGACTTGACGTGGGTGGAAATTTAAATATTCCTGATAATCCAAAAGAAAATATGGAAAGAATAAAAGCGACGCAGAAATATTTGCGAATTGTGCAAGAAATTTATGATTTAAATAAATATAGCGAAGAACTATCAACGTACTTACACATTGGAAAAAACAGTGCTGCTGCTGACCCGCTTAACATTGCTTATCAGGCAGTAAATACAGGTCATCATTCAGAGCGGGCAATTACAAAAATTGATCGATTAGAAAAACTCCAAGATAAAGAGAAAAAAGATGAAAAAGGAGGGGAGGAAAAATCATCCCAAAACAAAGACCCAGAGGCAAACCAAAATCAGATAAATAAAGGAAGAACAGATGCTAAGAAAGAATTAAACACTATAAGAGACAGTGTCAAAGTTTCTGAACTAGATACAGTGGAGAAAATTGACAATGCCATAACGACTTTGAAAGATTTTCCAGTTTCACGAGCCTCAGAGTTTTGGGGACAAGCTGAGACGGTTTGGAAAGAAGATGTCCCAACCCAAAATTTAATTAAAGACCTCGAAAAGAAAAGAGCAGAATTGACTGGGGAAAAGGAAAAACCAACAGAAAAACCAACAGAAAAACCAACAGAAAAACCAACAGAAAAACCAACAGAAAAACCAACAGAAGAATCATTAACAGAACTCCGCAAAAAAGCTCATGATGAAATCGAGGCAGAGATTACGCAAGAAGGAATTGATAAGAAGAAAAGAATGCCGGGAATTCTGGCAAAAGCCTTAGAAATTTATAACATTAAAGTCGATAAGAATGAAGCTAAAAATCTAACTATCCAAGAAGCATTAGACAAATTAACTAAGCCCGAAGATATTAAGAGTTTCCAGTCAGCTGTTCGTAAATCCATTGAAAAAACTGCTCAAACTTCAAGATGATACAAAAACCCTTGAACTTGGATAGGTATTTTTGGAGGATTAGTTATCATTGGTGGTCTAATTTGATACTTCACGAAAAAACCAAGCAAACCAGAAGGAGAAGAGGAAGAGTAAAATCTTCCTTTAAGGCAGTTATAATCCGGAGATAGTTTTGCAAAATCGACCTGCTACTTTCCGTTAATTTAACGCCGGCTTTTGAAAATACCGTGGAAAATGTGAAACCTTTACCGTTTACGCAAAACTTGGAATTTTTCGGAAGTGCTTAACCAAGGAAAAAAAGTAGTTAACTCCGAATTTGTGGTTTTTTATCTGCATAACCAGTTAAACAATTGCCGCTTTGGCATTAGTGTTCCCCGTAAAGGAGTAAAGAAAGCAACCCAAAGAAATTACTGTAAACGCCAAATCAAAAATATCCTTACTACCTCCTTAAAAAAAAGCAAAGATACTTGTCAATTTGGTCAGCCTAATCATTATGATTTAGTAATTATCATTCGTTCAGGTTTTTTGACCACTGACGAGTTTTCTGCTAAACAAAAATCACTCGTCGAATTACTTAATTCAATTTCCCAAAAAGAACTATGTTCGGTTAATTTGACCAAAAACAAGAGAATTCCCTATGCCTAGCCAAAAAAAAAAATTTGCTTTTTTTTACCGGATTTTTACCAAAGTTGTTGCGGTTTTCTTTATCATTCTTCTCATCCATTCTTTTCCTTTTTTTTCCTTTTTCAAAAAATCTGCCCAAGTTGTTCATTACCAAGAATATATCAGAGGTGAAAAAAATATTGGTAGTGACCAAGGAAAAATTGCGGAAGGAGCCCAAACTTTAACTGAGATTGAGAAAATTGAAAAAGCTATTTTGGCCGAAGTCGAAGTTAAACTACACAAGAAAGGCAAAAGTCGGCAAGAAAATCAAGAATTAAAGCAAGCCAAAGAAGAACTAACCAAAGCCGAAAAAGAACACGAAGCAAGAAAGAAAACTTACGAAGAGGAAGAAAAAAAATATAAAGAGCGAATTATCTCACCAGCCAAAGACATGGCTACATTTTCTCCCGAAGAACAAAAAATAAATGATGATTACGGAAAAGCCAAAGCTTCTGAAGAATCAGCCGAAAATCATCGCCAAGAAAAACTAAAAAATGTTCGCGAAAAGGTCATCGAAAATATTCAAGCCGAATTAAAAGAAGCCGAACTAGCAATCACTGACTTAAATATTGAATTTACTAACGAAGAGACTTGAGAAAAGCGTTCTTGGCAAAAGTCAATATGGCTTGACCCAATAAGATTTTTCTTAATCCAACCCTTACAATGAATTTCTCGCCAGTGCGGAATAATCAGTTTAGGAATTATTTGGGATTTACTCCTAAAAGCCTTAATCATGCGTTTACTTTTAAATTGAATTAGTTACCCCCCAAAATTAGCCGATTTAGACCTCGCCAAACCTCGCGAAAAATCGGAACCAACTGATTTAGCCTCCTTAGAAGAAGAAAGGGAAATGGCCAAGAAGCAGTTAGAAGCAATGAAACAAACTTTCTTCAACATTGCCATGAGTTTCCTTTTAATTAGTGCTTTTTCTCTTCATCCTTTTGCTTTTGACCGGAGCAATGAATTTTTTAGCGGAAAACAATCACACTTTTTTCCTTGAATGATCATTTACTTAGTTGTGTTTTTCTTTTCTCAGTTTATTACTACTCTCAATTACCAAAAAGTATCACTAGGAAACTATTTGCGGAAGGGTTGAATTGGAATTGCCATTGGGTTTGGATTTGGTTGCCTTTTTTACATGCAAAGTGGTAGATTTGGCGACTATTTATTTGCTTTACTGAGTGAAGTTATTAACATTTTCATTAACCTAGTAAAAATGGCTTACCGCCGGAGCCAACCACCAAAAAAAGCAAAAATTAAATGAGAACGAAAAAAAGCATGAAGTTATCACAATTACAAGAATTAGCCAAGAAAGTGCAATTAGAAATAAAATCGGAGGAAACAGAATATTTACTAACCAGTTTTTCCAAATTAGAGGAAATGTTGGCGAAATTTCAGCAATCACAGTTGAAAGATAGTCAGCCTTACCAAAAACAAACCAAACTTACTTTAAGAAATCTCCACCAACTAACTAAGGCTTATTCAACCCATTCTATTAAGAAAGAAACTGTTCGCCGTAATGCCATAGTTTCCTCAAATGATTTTATTGTAATTTACAAAAAGTATTTAGACCCAAAGGAGACGGTGAAGCCAATGAGTTAGAAAGCCTTCTCAAAGAGCAAATTTTTTTAGTTGCCTGTGTTTTAACAATTGCTATTTTTTGGGCAAATCAAAAACCAAAGGTGACAAGGAACAAGAAAAAAGTTAGTTTTGGTTCTCGTCAAAATTAGTTTTGAGAAGCAGTAACTTGAAAATTAATTAAAGCCCTTTGAAAAAATCCAATATTTTCATTACATTTTTTTTTTAGATATTAACACCTTCGTTCTTAAAATATTTTGATATGACAAAAAATGACTATCCACGGATTAAAGACCCTAATTTTTTCACCATCAGTGCCGTCGAATTAGCCCAAAAATTACTGGGTAAAATACTGGTTCGGAACCTTAATGGTCAAATTATTAAAGTGAAAATTGTCGAAACCGAAGCCTATATAGGTAGAATTGACCGAGCTTGCCACGCGCATCAGGAAAATAGGTCGAAATGAAAAGCTGCCGCTCTGTATAATCGCGGCGGTTGCGCTTATATTTATCTTATTTACAGCATGTATTATTGTTTCAATATTGCTTCTTTTCTCGAAGGAGATCCACAAGGAGTATTAATTCGCGCTGCTGAAACGCTTGACCGTCATACTGTCCCAGTTATTTCTCAGCATGACAAAAGAAAAAAATATCATTATTACACCAACGGTCCAGGAAAATTATGCCGGGCATTGAGTATCGATATTAGCCTCAATAATGTTGATTTAACTACTAGCAATTTAATTTATTTAGAAGACCAGCCGGAACTTAATCAAGAGGAAATCGTTGCTACTAAAAGGGTCAACATTGACTACGCAGGAAGCGATAAAGACCGTTTGTGAAGGTTTTACATTAAAGGTAATCAATTTGTTTCTAGGAAATAATTTTTTGTAGCGTAATTAATATTTTAAAATTGAATAGCCGGAAGCCAAACTTAATAATTACCAAAGTCAACAGTCAATAAGAAAAATTTTTATTCGGGAGAAAATTTATTTTGTTGCCGGAGAAAGAAATAGTTTTAATGTTCAACAACAATGGTAATTTTTGCGTGATGAATGGTTAAATTTTCGACTTTTTTTTTCCATTGGTCGCGATTACTTTTATCCAACGAGTTCCAAGCCTCGTCTAAAATTAAAACCTGGCTTTGTCTTTGTGGGTCAACAGAGTTGTAGTTGCCTTTCAGCAGAGCATCTTCTAATTCTTGGATTTGTTTTTCTCCTTCGGAACCTTCTTTCAGTAAAGTCTGATTAGAGACATAAGCAATTTGCTTGCGCCAATGAACTAAGTTTATTTTTTTTAAATCGTAGTGATTATTAATAATGATTTTTCCTTTTTGGGGTTTGAGCAGTCCTAAAATAAGTAAAATAATCGTAGATTTGCCAAAGCCATTTCGTCCTTCAATTTTGGTGATTTTCCCGACCACGAACTCTTGGTTGTAATTTTGTAAAAGATATTTTTTTTGACTAGGATAACGGAAGTAGACATTGCGTAATTCAATTTTTTCAATTGGCTCCACCAAGCAAATTTTGGGAGTTTTTTCTTTTACTGGCAATTTAGTTGTTTGGTAATAATTAGCCAAGCGGTGGCTAGAAGCCAAAACAGTTGGCAGGCCACGCATTGCCACCAAAACGCTTTTTAGTTGTTTAAGAGCATTGTCAGTGGCTATTGTGGCTTGAAAATCCAGAGTGAAAGCAAACAAAATCATCCCGATTGCTCGCGGCAAGAGATAATTAGGGTAAACCCCATTGGCAACAATTAAAAATTTATCTTTTTCTCTTTTTTTGGTATTTTTACGCATTGTTTGGTTAACTTCCTTTAAAAAAACTGGACTTAATTCTTTTTTTTTCAGTAATTCAATATTGTCTAGTAAATTATCAATTTTTCGGCTTTCTTGGTCTAAGGATTTTTTAAATCTTTTTTCCTTTTTCACTAATAATTGTTGTAAGAAAATAACAAATAGCAGGGTAAAAATAATTGCTCCTAAGAGAATGAAAATGCCTTTTTTGTTTTCGTTTCTTTGAAGAAAACTAATTGCCAAAGCAGTATGGAGTACCGTGTCCGCAGTTTGGTAAAAAATTTGGTTAAAGTCTTGCCCTTTGGCTCCGCCGGCAAATGAATAGCTTAATAAAGGAATATCTAATAAAAGAATATTTCGTAGTTTGCTTTTCATTACTTGGGTTTCTAAATAGGGAAGTTGGATGTAGCGATTAAGCGAAGAATGGACTAAGTGTTCCCGAATTTTATCTTCCAAGGTTCAGCCTATGTACATATGAATGTAAGATAAGTGAGTTTGAACCAAAACCGCCAGTAAATAAGCAATCACAAAACTGCGAAAATCTAATTGGTAAGTTCTCCAAGGTAAAGGAAAAGGAAAGGTTTTATTTTTAATAATTTCTCAGTTTTCCGCAAAACTTTTGCCAACGGTTATACCTTCAAAAACTTGCAAACCAGTGGCTACTAGAAAAATTTTTCCCAAAAGTGCAATACCAGCCGCTATTCAATGGGCAAAGATTCACCACCGCAATTTTTTTTGAATTAGACGAAAAGCAAAAACTTTATTTAGACTGAAAAGAAACAAGCAACCTAAAAAAAAAACAAAAACCGCAACTAAAACGAAATTCATTCTCATTTGCCAAAGTTTCTGCTCTTTATTTGCTGACTTGGGCTGCCTCCCATATTAATTTATTTTTTAATGGTAATTTACCTCCCTCGAGTATTCGTTGTGCCCTACCGGCATGATAAACTGCTCGAATGTGTCTTTCTTGGTTTAAGAGTTAGTAAAGCGATTAATTTTCCCTGACAGCCCATTCCCGTAGAAGACAAATTAAATTACATCTTTTTCTTGTAATTGTTTTCTTATTTGGTCGGCTTCGAAAAATTGTTTACTTTGGCGAAGTTTGTGTCATTTGTCAAGTAAATAACGAATTTTTCAATTATAAGCAACTAACTCAAATTTAAATCCTAAAATGTCTAAAATAAAGTAAAAAATGCCACTTAATTCTTGGATTAAGTTTGCTTCTTTTTGTTTGTCTAATTCCTTATTTAAACGATAAATTATTCCCTCTAAGTAATAAAACACTTTAATAGTATTCAGATTATTAGCCAAAGCCTGAATAACTTCTTGATAAAATGGATTACTTTTGTTAACTTTTTGCTGATTAATAATTATTTTTTGCCAATAAAAATGTAATTTTAATCTTTTAAGGAGATTTTTAATCTTTTGCGTGTAGTCTTGAGCCTGTTGGAGCAATTTTTCGTTGAAATTAATTACTTGGTTGTAATGGCTATTCAAAAAAAGGTAACGGAGCACATTAGCCCCATATTTTTGGTAAAAATGCTTGGCTAAAATTACATTTCCCCAAGATTTGGACATTTTTTCTTGGTCCCAATGTAAATGCCCAATGTGCAATCAGATTTTGCTTAATTCTTGATTATTAACGGCTAAATACTGAATTCTTTCGTTTTCGTGATGAGGAAATAATAAGTCTTGCCCCCCACCATGAATATCAATAGTTTCTCCCCCAAATAGTTCCTGAATGAAAACTACACATTCCGTGTGTCAACCCGGTCGACCACTCCCCGGTGGGTAATGCCAATTAATTCCCTGCTTGGTATTTTTTCACAAAACGAAGTCTTGCGGGGTTTCTTTATCAATCTGAGTAATTTCCCGGGCATTTTGTCTTTTTTCCCCGCTTTGTAATTTCTCAACTTTTTGTTTAGAAAGTTGACCGTACTCTTGATTGCCTTTTGCTCGGAATAAAACATCATTTCCTTGCCGGTAAGCTTGGTTTTTTTTGAGCAAATTATTAATGAACTTCTGAATTTGGGGAATATAATCAGTTACTTTTGGAGTAAAAGTTGGTTGAAGAATGTTATAATTTGCCAAATTTTGAAAATAAGCCTTGGTGTAATGCCGAGTGATTTGTTGTTCGGATTTTTTTTCTCTTTGGGCCTTTTGGATAATCTTGTCGTCAATATCGGTTAAATTATGCACATATTTCACTCCATAACCATAGGAGAGGAAAAAACGATGCAAGACGTCAAAAACAATTACTGGTCGGAGATTACCAACGTGAATATGGTCATAAACAGTCGGTCCACATAGGTAAATATTAACAATTTGCCGAGATTCAAGAATTAAACAATCATTTTGATTAGTTAAAGAATTAAATAAATGTATTTCCATAGGTTAAACTAAGCAATTTTGGGCTTTTTCTATATAGATTTTTGGGTAATTTTACTTGCTGGCTTGGCATATATGGCTAATGTTAGGTCAGCAAAATATGTTTCTAGTCAAAATCAATTAATCGGTGAGGAACATAACCAAGTAAAATTTTTTCCACAATGGCTCTTTTTTCGAGCAAAGTATAAGTATCTTTTTTTTTCACTAAATCAATCAAAACTTCGAGAATTTCGAATAAACTTTGGGAAACTTGAAAGCGGTGAAAAATTACTCCGTTGCCCGTGCTTCAAAGTAAATAAACCTCTTTTTGGGTGCATAAATGCTGAATTAATAATTGAATTTGGAAAGCCAAGAGAGTTAAAGGACTTTCGTGCATTTTAATATTGTTAGTTTTCAATTCTACTATACAATCGGCGAATTCTAAATCGACATAGGTAGCAATCAATACTCCCTTATAAAAAGTATGGTGTAATCTTTCGCTGCCCAAAAAACAGTGATTATTCAAAAGTTTTTTGTTTTTTTCTAAAAAGTAAATTGTTTCTTGGAGTTTTTTTTGAACTTTGGGGCTAATTTCTGGTCCTTGGGCAAGGTCAACACCAGTTTGAATAAATTCTTGAATAATTTGGTGAAATAACTTACCGTTTTTGGCGGCTCTTTGGAGCACAATTTCTGGTATTTGCTTGTCTCCATATTCGATCAATTTTAAGATTTCCACCAAAGAACTTGGGCTCCAAGCTTTTTCTCCTTGATAATAAGGTCATAAAAGACCATTTCTGTTTTCCTTTAATTCAATTTTTGGTTCCACTTTATTTATATTATTTTTAACTTTTATTTGCTGAAAAAAACAAAGAGGGCGCTTTTGCCTATCGCTGAAAAAAATAAATTTATACAGCCTTAAAAGAAAAATTCAATGAGTGATAACAGAATAGATATTAAAGCAATAGAAGCAAAATGACAAGAATATTGACGGAAAAATGAGACATTTTTTACTGATTTACAAGCCGCGGATAAGCCCAAAAAATACATTTTAGCCATGTTTCCTTATCCTTCCGGGAGTGGTCTACATGTCGGTCATATTCGTGTTTACGCGATTACTGATGCCTTAGCCCGTTTTTATCGTTTACAAGGTTATAACGTTCTCATGCCAATTGGTTGGGACGCCTTTGGTTTACCGGCCGAACAATACGCCATTCAAACTGGCAATCACCCCGCTACTTTTACCAACACTAATATTCAAAATTTCAAAAAGCAATTATTCAAAATGGGTTTTTCTTATGATTGAAGCAAAGAAATAAATACTAGTCAACCAAATTATTATCATTGAACCCAGTGGATTTTTTGCCAAATCTATCGTCAAGGGCTAGCCGAATATAAAAAAATCCCGGTCTATTGGTGTGAAAAACTAGGGACGGTGCTGGCTAATGAGGAAATCAAAAACATTGATGGCAAAAAATTTTCGGAACGGGGAAATTTTCCCGTAGTAGAAAAAAAAATTCCGCAATGAGTTCTGAAAATTACTGATTATGCTAAGGAATTATTAGCAGGATTAAAAGATTTGGACTGACCCGCAAGTATTAAAAATTTACAAAGGAACTGAATAGGACTTAATCGGGGTACTTTTATTGATTTTCCCGTAGTAGAAAAAAATATAACTATTAAAGTTTTCACTAAATCTCCCCAAACTATTTACGGAGTAACAGCCCTTTCTTTATCCCTCAATCATCCTCTTTTAACAGAACTTACCTTGCCAACAAATCAAGTTAAGATAAGTAATTTTTGCGCTGTTTGAAAAGATAAAAACAGTAAGGAAATCGCGGCTGAATTTACCGGCAGTTATTGCCAACATCCTCTAACTGGTGAAAAACTTCCAATTTGAGTAGCTAATTTTGTGCTTGAAAATTACGGAACAGGAGCGGTAATGATTAACGCTTTTTCTCCGGAAATTTTTGCCTACAAAGAAATTACGGGATTAGTTAGCGAAAAAGAATTAAAACAAAACCAAGAAGTAGACTTCGCTTTCGTTCAAAAGTATAATTTGCCAATAAAAAAAATATTTCATTTAAACATATCAAAAACAGAGATAGGCGGTTATTTTATTAGTTCACCTTTATTTAATAACTGCCGCAACAGAGAAGAGGCAATTGAAATTATCAACAATTATTTAGAAAAAGAAAAAAAGGGAAGAGTGGGCGAAATTTATCACTTAAAAGATTGAGTTTTTTCTCGTCAGCGTTATTGGGGCGAACCGATTCCCGTTATTCATTGAGAAGATGGCAAAAAGGAGATAATTAACGAAAAAGAATTGCCGTTAGTTTTACCGCCTTTAACTGATTTCCGACCCTCATCCGAATATTATTCTCCTTTACAAAAAGCCACTGAATGAGTAAATGTCAAACGACAAGACGGAGTTTTAGGAAAAAGAGATGTTAATGTTATGCCCCAATGAGCCGGCTCTTGTTGATATTACATTGCTTTCTTGCTAAAAAAAAAAGATAACTACTTAGCACTCAATAGCCAAGCAGCCCAAGAAATTATTAAAGACTGGTTGCCGGTGGATATTTATATTGGGGGGCAAGAACACGCTAATTTACATTTATTATATGCTCGCTTTTGACACAAGATTTTAAACAAAAGAGGAATAGTTAACTGCTCGGAACCCTTTCAAAAGTTTTTTTGTCAAGGCATGATTTTGGGCGCAGACGGAGAGAAAATGTCCAAATCGCGGGGCAACATTATCAATCCTGACCCGCTAATTGAAGGATACGGTGCTGACGCTTTAAGATTAGCCATAATTTTTCTGGCTCCAGCGGAACAAACTACTAGTTTCAAACTCCAAAGCGTTAAGGCTATGAATAAATGATTAAAACGGGTTTATCAACTTTTCACCACCCAACCAGCAAAATTTGTGGATGCTTCTAATTCGGAATGAGATAATTTTTACCAAGAAATCTTAACTAAAACAACTGAATATTACCAAAATCTGAAATTTAATTTAATTATCCCCCAATTAATGATTTTTATGAATAAGTGTTATCAAAGTGAAACTATACCTCGACAATATGCCTTAAACTTTCTCCAACTATTAAATCCTTTGGCCCCACACTTAACGGAAGAAATTTGGAGCTACTTTCAAAAAACCTCTCTTGCTTATCAACCTTGACCAAAAATTAACCAAGTTGGCAAAAATGAATTCCAAAAACAAATTAACCTAATAGTTCAGATTAACGGTAAAACCAAAATTATCTTGCCAGTTAGTCCTAACTGAAAACAAGAAGAGATAATCAAAGAAATTGAAAAAAATGAAAAAATAAACAAGCAATTGAAAAGCAACAAAAAAGTCCTTAAAATAATCTACATTGAAAATAAATTAATCAACTTTGTGCTTGTTTAATGAAGAAAATAGGGTTTTAGACTCAGCAGATTTAAAAAAAAGCCTTTAAAAGTAAAGAAAAATTGCTCTCTTAGTTCTATTTTATTGTTGTATCAATAATTTTGTTAAGTAGTTCTGGTTGATGAATAGCCAACTCAGATAACTGTTTAGGGTCTAGTTCAATTCTTGCTAATTTGAGTGAGCGTATTAAGGAAGAATATCTTAATCCTCTTGCCCGACAAAAAATATTCAAACGTAAAATTCATACGCGGTGGAAAAATCTTTTTCTTTGTTTTCTTCCGTCATAAGCATCGTCCCAAGCATTCATTAATTGTTCTTTGGCGGTTTTAAATAGTTTATGCTTAGAACCATAAAAACCTTTTGCTTGTTTCAAAATTTTCTTTCGCCGTTCTCTGGTGGCTGGTGTACTTCTGGCTCGCGTCATTCTTGTATAAACTAATTTTAAGCATAAAAGTGAAATTAATGTTCGACTAAACAAACAAAATTAAAAAAACACCAAATGCTTTTTTCTTTCTTTGTTAGCCCAAGATAAAACTTTGATTATTTGTATTTATTTTATGTTTTTTGACACTTGATTTGAAGAATATTTTATTTAAAAATTATAATAAATTATGGCAGAAAAAGAACTAGAAATTATTTACCAAAGAATCGATTTGGATTATGAACTTAAAGCCTTGGAACCCTATATTCCGGAGAAAATTATGAATGACCATTACCACGGAAATCACCAAGGATACGAAAACAATTTAAATTTAATTCTAGCAAAATTAGAAAAAGAGAAAAGGGAATATCTAAAAAATAATTACTCTGAATTAAAAAAACTTTTGCAAAATCTCAATCAATTAACTAGCGAATTAGCCCTTGCTCCCGAAATTAAAGAAGCCATTCGCTTTCATGCTGGCGGCTTAATTAATCATAACTACTTTTTTTGGCATTTAGCAAAAAATAAAATAAATACTAGCAAGGCCTTTTTAGAAGCACTCCGTGATAGCGGCTTCGATAGTTTAGACCCCCAAAGTGATTTAAAAGACCAGTTAATCAAACAAGCCCTCGACCCAACCATTAATGGTATTGTTTACGGTAGTTATTGAACTTGGTTAGTTTTAGATGACAACAACAAAATGAAAATTATGAAAACTGCTAACCAGGATAGTCCCTGAATGTCTAATTTCCGACCCTTAATTGCGATTGACATGTGAGAGCACGCTTATTTGAGAAAATATAACCCTGGGCAATACGGAACTAATTACAAAAAAGAATATTTAAATGCTTTGGTTAACTATTGTCTTAATTGAGAACGGATTGATGAAATATATTTACAAGAGGTTAGACCATTTGGCTAATTTATTGAGAAACAAAGAAAAAATTAATTTAAGGAGTGATGCCCGAGTGGCCGAAGGGGGTTCTCTGCTAAGGAATTGATTAACCGAACAGTTAATCCGAGGGTTCGAATCCCTCTCACTCCGCCATATAATACAAGAGAGAGAGAGAGAGAGAGAGAGAGCATATTAATCCATGAAAATAAAATTTAAATTGTTAGAGAAAAAACAAAGCAATCAAGGGCTTGAATTACAAGTTTCGGAATGTTTTTATGATAATCAAATAATTAATAAAATTACGCTTAAACATAATCACAAAATTTTAACAAGTGCCGAGAACAATCAATTTATTATCAAAAATATTCAAAGCAACGAAATCGAATTTAAGCCAAGTTCTAGTGAGTTAATTATTGACTCTCCTCATTGCGTTATTTTCCCTGCCAAAACTGACTTTCTTTTTGCGGTTAACAAAATTGAAAAAATTGACCATAATTGAGAAATAGAATTAGTTTTTCCTCATGTTTGAAACGGAGAAAAAATCACCAAAATTCGCCTTTCCGGTGCTGACGACCAAGACCAAAAAATAATTGAGGAAAACAAAAATGAATATTTTTTTACAATTGGGGGAATTAAAAAATACGAATTGCTTCCCGCTATTGGGAAAACCCAAATGCTCGTCCTTTCTGCCGATAATTTCCGTGATTTAGAAAAAAGCGTCCTTTTTCAGCCCGAACCAGTGAAAATTTTCGTGAAAAACCCCAAAAAAAACATCAATCATTATTTAATTAAGTGCCAAGGAGACTTAGCAAAAATTGGTTTGAAAGATTACCAAAAAATTCGCATTATTTTTCACCAAGAGATAAACGACGGCGATATCATTGAATTTAAACTAACTAACTTGAAAGACATTTTACAACGAGACAAGGAAGATGGCATATTAAGAATAGATAATAGTTACCATTCCTTTGCCAAAATCAAAACTGGTTCGGCTGTTTCCGCTCAGGAGCAAGCCCAAAAAACTATCCAAAAACAAGGCCGAAAATTTCTCAAAAAATACCAAAACGAGCAAGCAGAAAGGGTAAATAGTGGTCAAAAAAGTTTAGAAAAATATTCCCAAATTCTCCAACAACTTCGCGATAAATTCAATGACCCAACGAGCCGGGAATTAATTGACCAAAAAAATAGCCTTTCCCAAAAATTAGCCGAGTTTGCTAGTCAAAGTCAACTGGAAAACAAAATTGCTTTGCTGGAAAGACAGATTTTTTTCACTATGACAGATTACCAAGACCAAAGCAAAAATGACCAATTTAAACAAGGATTAGCTAAAATCGACCAAGAATTTACGGAATTAACCGAAGAAATAGCCAAATTTCAAACTTCACTCAGGGAGCATTTAAAAGAAAAATGGGTTTTGGTTTACGAACAAGACCCGCAACTTCAACAGTTATTTGCCAAACATAAAGTTAGCCAGCAAGGTTTTTTTGATAGTTTAGAATGAAGCGAAGGTCATTTCTGAATACAAGAAGACGGCTCAATTGATTATCTGGCTTTGGAGAAATATCTTCAAGAGCAGAATTCTCGCGACGGATTACCAAATAATTTAGGTTATTTTCCCCACGATTTAAAAGAAGGCAGTGATTGAAAAAAATGAAACGAAGCCCAAATCAAAAAAAGTGAGGCCGACGAAGCAAGCCATTTAGGTTATTCCCCGGAGCAGTGAAAAGACCAGCAATACCAAGAGTATAAGGACAAAAATCGCATTTTAGCCGACTGTATGATTGAAACTTTCCAAAGAGCCTGAAACCCTCCTTTATCAGCCGAACACAAAAAAATAATTAAAGATTCGCAATCAGAGAAATTGGCTGAGAATATTTTAGAAATTCAAAAAAAAAGATTTACGGAACAAGCCAAAACTTATTTTAAAACCTTTATTGAGCAAGAATTAGAAAAAGTTCCGGTCGGAAACACTGCCGAACTTGGTAAATACTCCACTTACGCCCAAGAGATTGAAAAAAAAGAAAGTTGGGAAAAACTGGAAAGTTATTTAGAAAGAGTAATTACCAAAGTCAATCGGGTGCGGGAAAATAAAATTTCTTCCTTGTCTGAGGCTCAGAAACAAGCCAAGAAAAATATCAACGAAACTCTCCAAAAAACGAAAATCAAAACCCAAGAACTCCACCAGCAACACCAAAATTGAGCAACAAAAATTGAAAAACTGGCAAGTATTCCCGCAATTCTTCAATTTGAACAAGATTTAATTCTTTTGCTGGAAAAAATTAATTGTCTTTCTCGCCAGCAATGACTCCCCCACTTTGGTAAAAGAGAAAGAAACCAAATTAAGCGAGCCAAAGACCAAAAAGACTTGACAAAACGAATTGCTTCCCGCCAAGCAGAAAAAAAAAATTGGTTACTCGTTTGGCAAATTAATAAATACCTTCGTTGCTACCAAGAATTACAAGAAGAAGCCGAACAAGATTATTTTTCCCAAAGACTACAATTAAAAGAAGTTGAGCGATTATTAGAAAAAATTGATAAATCTTCCTTAAATAGCGAACAAATTGAACTACAAAGAACTCTCCAAAAAATAACCGAACCACTTATGAATCTGTATGTGGCTAGAGGCTTTCAAAGAAATTTTAATGAGGCTACTTCGGCAAAAGAAAAACAAGAGTGACTTCAAAAACTGCAAAATGAGTTGCAAGGAATAACTAAAAAAAGAAAACTAACTGAAAAGGAAGCCCAAATCCAAAAACAAATTGAGCAAAATCTTCGCCTAATTCAGCAAGGAAAAGCTACGGAAAAATTTGTTCTCATTAACGAAAAGCCAACCGAACTTGAAATGCTCACCTTAGAACCCGAAGTTCAAGGAGAAAATGATTCTACAACCGAAAGCACTAAAGACCAAGATTGAATTTCCCAAAAAACATTAGTCATTTTTGCCATAGTGGGCTTACTTTTAATTTTTCTTTGGCGTTGATACCGCAAAAAAAAAGAAGAAGACCCGTTTTGATAATAAAAAGCAGTTCAATCTTAGCAAAAAATGCCAAAAGTAGGTAAAATTTTTTATATATGGCAAAAGCAAGCTCACCGAACAAAAAAGGCAATTTAACTATTATTACTGGTCCTATGTTTGCGGGGAAAACCGAGGAATTATTACGGCAAATTCGGCGAGCCCAATATGCCCAAAAAGAAATCTTAATTTTTAAGCCTTCTTTAGATAATCGCTATTCAGCAACGGAAATAACTTCGCATTTAAACAATAAAATAACGGCTACAATAGTCAGTAAAAGTAAGGAAATATACACTTATCTGAAAAAACAGCCAAAAACGGAAATTATTTTTCTCGACGAATTACATTTTTTTGACCAAAAAGTTGTCAAAGTTTTGAACAAACTAGCCAAGCAAGGCTACCAAGCCATCGCGGCCGGTTTAGACCAAGATTTTCGGGGAAAGCCGTTTGAAAACACTTCCTTTTTGTTGGCTTTGGCAGAACAAGTGATTAAATTAGCGGCAATTTGCCGAATTTGTAATGAAGAAGCTAATATGACCCAAAGATTAATTAATGGTCAACCAGCTTTGGCTACTGACCCGGTTATTTTAGTGGGCGGTCTGGAAGCTTACGAAGCACGTTGTCGTTCTTGTCATCTTGTTGGTAAATTAACTGCCTCGGTGGGAGAAAAGGTTGATTGAAGTTAAAATTTATTATATAAATATAGGAGAAAATTATATGAAAAAACTTTATACTTGTAAACACCAAAAAGAGGCTACTAGTCCTTGCTCGGTTTGCCAAGAAGGAAGAGGAAATAAAACTAACGCCCGAGAACAAGCTTTTACTTGTAATAAATGCGGTGAACTAGCTAAAAGTGGAAGTATTGAAGCCGCTGACCCTGGCAAAAATAACGAACAATATCGGGAAGAATGGGTAGAAGAGCATAATTGCCAACCTAACCCCGAAAAAGTGAAAGAAAAGAAGCAGCAGAAAGAAGAAATTGAACGAGTACGCAAGGAAGTAGAAGAAAGAAGAAAAGAAGTTGAAAAAGAACAAAACAAAAAACATAATCCGGATGCTCCTCTTCCACCGATAAGTGAAAGTAAAAGTGAAAACGGCAACAATACAATTTATACAATTTCGTGTAAATTCTGTGGTTATTATTGAAGCGAAAGCGTGCCAAAACAACTCAAGGAAACTTATCAGGAAAAAACCAAAGAGTGGTTAATTAAAGTTTATCAAGAACACCAAAGAAAATTTGCTAAACAGGAAGTTAATAAAGACAATGAAGCCACGGAAAAAGACAAAGCAATAGAAGAAACTTTGGCCAAAGAAGACGAGCAATTGAACAAAGTCAAAAATTTAGAGAGAGAGAGAGAGAGAGAGAGTGGTTCAAATCCCTCTTCATCGGCAAGCCACGATTATTTGCGCCGTGGATAATTGGCGGAGTAGCAATGATAGTTATAGGAATAATTGCTTATTTGCTTATCAGAAAGCGTAAAAAATAATAAATATTATGAATAACGAACAAAAGGGTAATTACTACATTATTGCTGACCACTTACGAACTACGATTTTTGCCTTGGCTGATGGTGCTGTTTTTGAACCCAAAGGTCGAGGTTATATTTTGAAAAAACTAGTTAAAAGAGCAACCTTGCTCGGTCATTTTCTTAAATTTCCTCCCGAGAACTTACTACTATTTAGCCAAAAATTGATTGAAATTAATGGTTTGTTCTATACTCACTTAAAAGAAAACCAAAACTTAATTCTTAACAATTTAAAAAAAGAAATCAATCGCAACTTCAAATTTATCCAAAATTCCACCCAAAAAATTACTCAATATTGTCAAAAAAGCCCGCAAAAATTGATTCCTGCCGAAAAAATCTTCTTTTGGTACGATACGGCAGGCGTGCCTTTGGAATTGATTGAACACCATTTAAGTCAAAAAAGATACAGTTTTTCGCAAACAGAATTTAATAAATTGCTTGCGGAACAAAAAAAACGCGGTCAAGAAGACCGTGCAAAAAAGGAAGTAGCAGCATTCTAATTGTAAAAGTAATATGATAATATTACCTATTTTTCACTAAAATCATAATTAGCGGAAAAAACAGCATCACTAGAAAAAAAGTAATAAAACCAATTACTCAAAATTGCTGATTTTTTTTTTTTTTGGTCGCACATTTTTTGCAAACCGTTTCGCTTCCGCCTCCTCACCAGGGAAATCAGCCGCCGGTCATTTGGATTTCTTGGCCTACCGGAATAGGTCGCTGACAATTACTACAAAGCATATAAATATTTTTAACACGCTGAGGCAATTTTTACCAAATTAGGGATAATCTTTTGTTTGCTTATGGTGTTTTTTCATACCCTAACTCTTGCAGTTTTTTTTGAAAAAAGTCAGGCAATGGTGCTTGAAAAAGGAATTTTTCTTTTTTTGAACCAGAAAATTCTAAACTATAAGCGTGTAAAAATTGACCAATTTCCGGATTAACACCAACCGAACCGTAAAGTGGGTCATTATAAATGGGGTGATTAATCTTTTGGCAAGCCACCCGAATTTGGTGAGTTCGACCAGTCAGAGGAAAAATTTTCAAAAAAGTATAGTTATTTAATTTTTCGATTACTTGAAAAGAAATTCGCACTAATTTGCCTTGCTGAGAATTTAAAGTCATTCTCATTTTTCCCTTGGTCGGAAATTTTTTTTGGACATAAAAAGTAATTTCTCCGCTTTCGCTGGCTAAAACTCCTTCGACTAACGCTAAATAAGTTTTTTGGATTTTTCTATCCTTGAAAAGAGCAGTTAAGTAATGAAAACTTGCTTGGTTTTTGGCTACTAAGAGCAAACCGGTAGTTTGTCGGTCGAGCCGGTGAACTATTCCCCCGCGGGGAACCGAAGCAAGCAGCGGCTCATATTGGCTTAAAATTGCTTCTAAACTTTCTGTATAATCCTTAGTTTTTTGCACCGCTAAATTATTCGGTTTGTTAATTACTAACAGATTTTGGTCTTGGTAAATAATGTCAAGCATATTTTTTAATTTTCCGTAAAAATATATTTGTAAGGATAGAAAAAATGAATGTTGATTTACGCCAAAAAAAAAGTGCTGAAACAAAGACAAGCAATAAATTAAATATTATAATTGAGGGATTTGATATTCCGCTCGTGGAAACGACAACGGCTTGAATTCTCCGAAAACTTTTGGACGCTAAATTAAAATTTACGGGAAAAATTTATTTGCCGACCAAGCGAGAAAGAGTAACTGTTTTAAAGTCTCCGCATAAGCATAAGGATTCACAAGAGCATTTAGGCAGAATAACTCATCGCCGTTTAGTACAAGTGATAGGCACTCCTTATTCTGAATTGAATAAGGTCGGTTTAGCGGGTTCTTACCCACAAATTTCCCGGGGAGTTCAAGTCAGAGTAAAAGTTTAATAGACGCGGAGAGAACGAAAATCTCTTACTCGTAATTGGTAAATTTTCTTCCCAATTTTAAACTTTTGCGTATTGCCTTGAAATTTTCTTTTGGTGGCTTTGTTCGAAAAAGAACGATTATTGCCGACCAAAGGCTGATTTTTCCCGTTTAATATTTTTTTCAATCTTTGCTTTAATTTCATTTTCATTTTTCTACCTTTACTATATTTTTATTTTACACTTATGAACCAAAAAAATCGCTTAACTGATAACGAAAATTCTCCCAGGAATACAAAAAAAAAACGCTTTTTTATTCTAATAATTGGTGGAATTAGCGCAATATTTTTATTAATAGCAATTATTCTTTTCGCAAAAAAATCTAGCCACGAGAACAAAGAAAATCGGCAAGCAAGCGAAAAAGAAACTAATCCTGAAATTAACTCGCCGGAGCAAATTCCGCTTTCGAATGAAGAGCCGAGCGGTTGTCCTTATTTGAACGAAGAAGCAATGGAAGTTGCTAGCAAAAAATACGATAAGAGAGAATTAGCCAAACTAAAACAAATTCCCCAAAATTACACAATTAAACTCTGAAAAAAGGGCTATCACTGGTGAGATATCCTTCAATTGTGAGACTGAAAAATCCCCGAAAAAGATATCCCTAATTTAAAGACAGAAAAAAGAATTGGTGTTATCAATGAATTATTTGTCATGTTTGACTCTGAATTGTTTGAACTTCCCAAAGAAGAAAAGGAAAAGAGACTCAAAGACGACGATATTTATGTGGGCGGAACGAAAAATCTAGTGGTTATTGTGCGAAAAATTCCTCATGGCGGACCCAAAATTAATATTGATAAAGGGTATTTTCAGGCTCCCATGACCAGAGAAGAAAAACAGAGTGGTCATTATATGAAAAGAGTAATTAATTTCTTCTTAAAGCAAGAAAATATTAACCCGCAACAATACGAAATAACCCTGTTGTCGGCAATAGGAGTAGAAAATTTCACTGGGGAAAGAAAAGTTGCTTTCGGGCAAAGTGGAGGAAAATCAGCCGGAAGCACTCTTTATTTAGCTTTACTAAGTGCTTTTTTTAAAAAACCTATTGCTAAGGAAGTTGCTTCGACCGGTGCTTTATCATTATCCACCAAAAGAATAAAGTGGGGAAAAGTCAGCGGACAAGAATTTCCTTTGGTTCCGGGAACTAATTTGCCAATTGGTGGACTAAAACACAAAGTTTCAGCGGCAACAGAAAGAGGAGTTAATCGTCTAGTGCTTTCTAAATATCAATCTTCACCTAACCTTTTATCCGAATGACAGAGAGGAGGGAAATGAACGGGAAGTTGAGACGGAGAGAACAACAAAAATTATTACGAGGAAAAATGAAGAGAGTTGGCGGAGGATTATCAACAAGTAGTTCCACCCGAAATAAAAGCCAAAATGACGGTTCATTTTGCCGAAAATGTTGCCGAATTACGAAAACTAGTTTTGGGAGGTGAACTAAGTTAAATGGAAATGAGCACGGACAAATTTGCCTTGGGTTTTTTGGCACTTTTGACCCTAATTTTGGTTCTAGTTTTTTGATTTTGGCAGAAGAAAATAACTAATCAGCAAAAAAAATTAGACCAAGCAAAAGCCCAACAACAAAGAAAAGCCAATGATTTAGCTGTCCGAGAAGAAAAAATTCGCTTAGCCCAAACTAACTTGGCTACTCAGAAAAAAAATTGCCAAAAAGAGGAAACGAGAATAACTAATTTGAGCGAAAAATTGCTGGCAAAAGAAAAAATAATCACCGAACAACTAGAAAAATCCGGGCAAAAAGAACAGCGGCTAGAAGACAAAGAGCAAGAATTGTGTCAAAAAGAGAACCAAGTCAATCAATTACAGCAGCAAAATGAGCAAAAACTTTGAGAAGTCGCCCAAATGGACAAAAAAGAGGCCCAGGAAATCCTCTTTGCCCGCTTGAAAGAAAAAATTAAAGACAATTTGGATAAGCAGACCCAAGGAGAAATTAAGCGTCAGCAAGAAATAGTTGAATCTGAAACAACCAAAATTATTTGTGCGGCTTTGGAAAAATATAGTTCTGAATTAGTATATAGTCGGACAGTTAACCATTTAAAGGTGGATGACGACCGACACATGGGACGAATTATTGGTAAAGATGGTCGGAACATCAATTTTTTTCGCAAACTTACCGGAGTAGAACTTTTGTTTCCCGAAAACGGCACTGCTCGCCGCAAGCCAAAAGAAGGCAAAAAAAAAGAAGAATGAACAATTGAAATTTCTTGCTTTAATTCTTTACGGCGGGAAATTGCCACCCGCACCCTACAACGCTTAATTAACGAGCAAAAATTCAGTCCTTTACAAATGGAAACAGTTTTTCAAGAAGTAAGCCAAGAAGTTGATAAAATTATTCAACAAAGTGGAGAAGAGGTTTTAAAAGAACTACAAATCAGTTCTGTTCACCCGGAATTAATTAAGTATTTAGGTAAATTAAAATTTCGTACTAGTTATGGACAAAATGTTCTTGAACATTGCTTAGAAGTTGCCAAGTTGGCTGGTAGTATTGCTGCCGAATTAGGTTTAGACATTAATTTAGCCAAAAGAGCAGGTTTGTTTCATGATATCGGCAAAGCCGTAGAAGACGATGGTCTTTCTCACGTCACGAGCGGAATAGTTATTGCTAAGCAATACCAAGAATCAGCCGTGGTCATTAACGCTATTGCTTCCCACCACCGGAATTTTCCGGCCGATAATCCTTATTCTTTCGTGGTGATGGCAGCGGATACTCTTTCGGCGGCTCGCCCTGGTGCCCGCGGTCAACAACTAGAAGCTTACTTGGCCCGGATGGAAAGTTTGGAAAAACTGGCCAAAGAATTTTCCGAAGTAGAAAAAATTTATGCTTTCCAAGCGGGCAAAGAAATTTGGGTAATTGTCAATGCCAAAAAAGTTAGTGACTATCAACTTTTGGAAGTTTCCGCCGCCCTTCAAAGCAAAATTCGCGAGCAAATTATTGTCCCCGGAGAGATAATTATTTCCGTTTTGCGAGAAACTAAATTTACCCAAAAAATGAATACTTTACCGCCAACTAACAAACCAAAAAAGAAAAAACAAAATAATATTAAAAAAGAGACTTTATAACTTTTGCAAAACTAACTTATACTAAAATTGGCGCTCCTAGGAAGATTCGAACTCCCGACGACCCGTTTAGGAAACGAGCATTCTATCCGCTGAATTATAGGAGCAGATAGCGGTTTTTTACACATATATCAAAAAAATAATACCAACGGATAAATTCAATTAAACAAAGAGAAAAAATAAACCGCAATAATTTACTGTTCCTATCCATCTCAATGACGCATTTTTTACAAAAATATCCAGAATATCATCATCATCTAGTATGGAACCGACTGCCTCACCAAATCGGAGCCCTTGATTTTCAAACTTCTTCTCCTTTCGGAATTCGCTTATGGCATTTTCTACATAACATATGTAAAGCATTATGGTTATTTTATTTTTCCTTATTTATAAATCTTGGTGGATCTTGGAGGACTCGAACCTCCGACCGACCGGTTATGAGCCGGGTGCTCTAACCAACTGAGCTAAAGATCCGCAATTAGCAAATATATCATTTAATTTTGCTTTCTTTAACTAATTTTTACCAAATTCTTGCTAAATGTTCTTTCTTTTTTCTTTTTAACTCTTTTTCGGTTAGTTTTGAAATAAACTATTTTTCTAACCGAGACTTTATAAGAAACTTAAAAGCAAAAATTTAAATATGGATTGAGACGAAAAACAAATTAACTCAACTAGCGAAATTATTCAGCAAAAAATCCTCGCTGCCCAAACCAAAGAGGAATTACAAAAAATCAAAAAAGAACACTTGGGCAAAGGAGGAACGATTTCCCAAATTTTTCACCAAACAATTAATTTAAGCAACCAAGAAGCAAAAAAAGAAAAAATTAAACTTATTAATGAATGAAAAGTTAAATTACTGACTGCCACGGAAAAAAAAGAGCAAGAACTAGCCGAAAGGGAATTAAAAGAACAATTACTGACGGAAAAAATTGATATTACCTTAGAAGGAAAAAGTTTGCCCTTGGCTTGTTTACACCCCTTGACACAACTTGTTCAAAAAATTTATGATATTTTCTGGCGTTTGGGTTACCAAATTGTGGAAAGTCCGGAAATTGAGACTGAGGAAAATAATTTTACTAAATTAAATATGCCCCCTGGTCATCCGGCTCGCGACATGCAAGACACTTTTTATCTTAATAATAACTTACTTTTACGCACTCATACTACTAATGTCCAAAGCCGAATGCTCCAAGCAAATCCCAACACAGAATTGAAAATTGTTAGTGCCGGCAAAGTTTATCGGCGGGACGATGACGATGCTAGCCATACTCACCAATTCACCCAAGTCGATTGTTTTGCGGTTGGCAAAGACATTTCTTTCAGTCACTTAAAAGGAACTTTGGAATTGCTAGTCAAAGAACTATTTGGTCAGCAGCAAATTATTCGCCTTCGTCCTTCTTACTTTCCTTTTACCGAACCTAGTGTGGAAGTGGATGCAACTTGTGTTCAATGCCAGCAAAAAGGTTGCGGGGTATGTAAAAAAAGCGGCTGAGTAGAACTGGGGGGCGCTGGTTTAATTCACCCGCAAGTTTTGCAAAATTGCGGTTTTAATACCAAAATCTATTCGGGTTTCGCTTTTGCTTTTGGTCTAGAACGTTTGCTAATGATTAAGTATGGCATTGAAGACATTCGCAACTTTTATTTAAATGATGTTCGCTTTTTGCAACAATTTGTTTGACGCTAACTTTGCTTAATACTTAAGAATTATATTTATTTTTTGCCCTTTGCGTTTTTACCTTTCGTTGCGGACTTTTTTGTCAAAG